CCACGACAGAAGAGTCATCCTAACCACATTTTTTTTTTGGATAATTTGTTAGGAAAAACCTAACAAAAGACACTTTTTGTCAGGAAAAACCTAATAAAGCGTTTTTGGCTCAAAAAAACCTAATAAAATTTTTTTTTGTTCAAGAAAACCAGACTCCCTATTCCGACGTTGACTGAACGTTTTCCGGCGTTGACCGTTACATGTGCCATGCACATGACCCTAAATTGACTATTTTACCCTCATTTGTTATTTACCCCTTTCCCTAATAACTTTTCTACCCAAATTAAATTTCCCCCTTTTTTATTCACTGTCTTCATCTCTCTCCTCACTCAATCTCTGTAAGGCAATGAATATATTAATCATGGCAGACAATGACGGACGACAGAGATTGAGTGAGGAGAGAGATGAAGACAGTGAATAAAAAAGGGGGGAATTTAATTTGGGTAGAAAAGTTATTAGGGAAAGGGGTAAATAACAAATGAGGGTAAAATAGTCAATTTAGGGTCATGTGCATGGCACATGTAACGGTCAACGCCGGAAAACGTTCAGTCAACGTCGGAATAGGGAGTCTGGTTTTCTTGAACAAAAAAAGATTTTTATTAGGTTTTTTTGAGCCAAAAACGCTTTATTAGGTTTTTCCTGACAAAAAGTGTCTTTTATTAGGTTTTTCCTGATAAATTATCCTTTTTTTTTTGAGGAAAACTCATCCTAACCACATTTAAGACATGATAACTTGTAATTGACTTATGTTACCAAACTTTCCTTTCGTTTGTTGTAAACTCAGTTTAATTAATGTAATTTTAGTCGTTTTCAAAATAAAAAAAAATAAAAATAAAACCTTACAAACAAATTATACAAGTTTTGATGTGTGAAGATAGTATTTGAGAAATAGAAGTGTAATGATAAACTAATAATCCATAATTTTTAAAACAGTTTTACTCTAAACCCTTATAAGGTCTGCTCTGCCCCATAATTAGACGATCGTATAAAAACTCAACCCATTTATTTATTAGACGGATCTAACCCATTAATAACTGTGGCGGGTCATGGGTCATGGCTTTTAATAGGGATCCAAGGCATCCAAACCATTGAACTGCTCTATTGAAGCGCATCATGTCAATGAGGCCTTAAGGATATTCCATCAGATGGGTGTTGTTTATACTTGTGTCCCCAATGCACTCACTTACGATTACCTTATCTATGGACTATGTGCTCAAACCAGGACAAAAAATGCCAAGGAGTTATTTTTTCAGATGAAGGAAAAGGGGTTTGCCATTGAACTGCTCTATTGAAGGCATTCAACGTTCTCCATTGAAGCGCAGTTGCCGTTCTCCGTTGAATCTAGGTCTTGTATCCCCCGTTGAAGCAGCTTCTGAGGTAAGTTATTTGTATTTGTTATCATCATATCAAATATCACTAAAATTATGAGATAATTGAATCAAATATCCCTAAAATTATGAGATAATTGAATCAAATTTGGTTGCTAATGTATTGCACAACACTTTAATGTTAGGATTCAACTATGCTCTTTTCCCGGGCCCACATTTGCCAATGTTTAAACCGTCTTTTAACTCTCCGGCGTAATTCAACGGTGACAATTTCTGACGAACGACGGAAGTCAGGCGAGCAATTTGTAGAAAGTGTGTTGAGTCTTGCTCGTAAGCTCTGCCAATTGGGTGTTTGCCGTGGTCACATTGTTGCCATATGTGCTTTCAACAGGTTTCATTTCATTTCTATCATTTTTTATTTGTCATCCATGCCCCTCCCCTGTCCTATCTTGATATCTTATCCGTTTTGACTGTGTACGTTTGTTGACATACGTCGTGAAAATATAATCCCAACATTTTCAAAATACTCCGTAACATGTTGCAACAATGGTCTTTTTCATTTGTTTTACAACACTCTACGAGTTTATGAGGGTGTTCCCAATTCACCTAATCTTCACTAATTCGAACTTATCTTTTCTTATGTGAACTTATTATACCTTATAAAAATTCTACGATAGACATGGTGCATGTGCACCTAATCATCAATTTTAAAAATTTCACCGTTTAGTTTCATTTGCAAACTATCTTCCGAAACTACTTTCTCTCTCTCTCTTTTACTTTGACCCGAAAATTAAAAGTGGTTATATCACGCGAAAGGTCATTAAATCACTCCAAATTAAAAGGTAATCAAATCACTCCAAATTAAAAGGTAATTTGATCATTTGAAAAGTGATTATATCATTAGAAATGTGATTATATTGTTAAAAAAGTAATTATAACATTTGAAAGGTAAGTGTATCACTCAAAAAGTGATTATATTATCCAAAAAGTGATTGTATCATCTAGAATGTGACTACATTATTTGAAATGTAATCATATCGTTCAAAAAGTAACTATATCATTTGAAAAATAATTTTATCATTCGAAAGGTAATTATATTATAATACTCCCAAATCTCCTTCTAAGTAAATACCATATTTATACGTATACAAATACCCGTAGAGATAGATTTGGGCGTATTACCGTCACGTGAAAACGTAAGGCTTATTTAATTATTCAAAAACAAGCAGCGGAAAATAACTGACTTTTATTTATAATAATATGAATAACCATAATAATTGTTTCAAATACTCAATTAATAGTAAATTCCTAATTATGTGGTCCCAATCCCGACTCAAGCATGCGCACGAACAACTCCACACTTGAAATCAAGAATGCTTACCAATAATGGTAAACAGGGCGAACCAAAACAAAATGAAAAATGGGTTAGCAAAAACGCTAAGTACATATAAGTGCAAGGCATGTAAATACTTTTATTAGGCAAACATGCTTTCGAAATAATTACTTAAATTTAAACCCGCTAAATATCACTTTCCAAAATTAAACCTTCCAAATATAGTAATGCCCATCAATAGAAACTTTCCAAACTAATAGGTTTCCAATTTATAAACTTTCCAAATTATTTTTTTTAGGAAGAAAAAAAATTTTGTTTCACCGCCGAGAAACGAAAGAAGACTTCCACTTACGCCGAAGAGTCCCGACAAGTGATGGTTGAGACGGGATTCGGCATTTTTGAACCACGAAAAGCTCGGAGCTTTCCCCCCTTTTCCGCCTGACCCCTTGGTATTTCTGAATAAGTTCCTGGATAACAAGCCAAATATCCCTAATGTGCCTGCTGCAATATGATGAGAGGCTATTCCTCCTGGAACAAAAGGGTCAAACTCGCACAACATCTCCTATTCATAGATCTGCGCCTGCCGATCAACCAACATTTATCGAATTTGAAAAAGAGTCAGAAGAAATGGTTCGATCCTCTTATTTTGATTTCTCGAACCGTAGACAAATTTCCAAAAACCAATTTTCCTCACCTAAGTGTGCACACCCCCCAAACAAGTTAAACTATACTCGAGGAAAGACCAGATCATACAAAGTTCATGGTCTTACTTAATTAGTCCCGGGTAGAGGGATAATAAATATCAAATACTCAGGCCCATAATGAGCTACATGTTTTAAATTAATTCCTTTAATTCAATAGCTTGAAATCAAGTGATTTATAACAACTTTTATTAAATTAAGCAACACTTTTAAAGATCAAATCTTTAAGTCGTAAATTATATTTCTAACTCATTACGAAAATCATTAACTCAAATTTTTCATACGCAATATTTATTTAAACAATTATTAAATTAAACATTCACCAAGACATGCATTCAGACTTGTATCAAGAACCTAGCCACCTATACGTACCTTGGCCACGAGAAAAATATAATTAAGGTATGACTACTAAATTTCTCCACGATCGAGGAAATCCTCCTACACAATTAAAATAACCTTAATTAATATAAGGTTAACAAAAATAAACACAAAATTATAAATTTTACTCTACTTGTGCATGAACTACCAAAATATTAACTTTTAGAATTTAAAACTTTCAACAATCTATGTTAGTAGCATACTATTATTATTAATATCAAAATTTATATTATTGGTGTTTAAATTAAGTAGCATAATAATATATTTGGTGTCAAAATAATATAATAGTAATCATAATAATAATAGAAGAAAGAAGAGTTTTATTTATTTATTAATTTTTTATTATTTTTTTATATAAACATGCATGCATGCGGCAACATAAGGGAAGAAGGAAGTTGCGCATGCAGCACCTAAGCAGCAGCAGCAACGGAGGGAGGGCAGCGTGGCGGCAGCAAGGTGGTTGTCAGGGCGGCAGAGGGTGGTGGCAGTACAGCAGGTCCGAAGTTAGTAAGTGGTTGTGGTGTTTGTTTGAGCAAAAGAATGAAGGAATTCTAGAAAGAAAGAGAGGAAGAAGGAGAAAACGTGAGTTTAGGTAGTAGAGGGAGGAGATAGTCTGATTTTTGATGTGAGTAAATGAGAGGGATTAAGGGTCTATTTTTAGTGTTTAAAGTGTGTAGAAGGATAGAGCTTAAGGTATGATATGATTACTAGAAAATATGATAAGTTTTGGGATTTGTTATCGTACTTGAATCAAATTAAGTCTAGGTTAATAGTTGGGTATAAAAGATGAGTAGGAAAATTGGATAAAAGTTCATTTGATTAGAGGATTGGAAGGAAGAAGATAGGGATAAGAATAAGATATTGAAGAAAGTTTAATGGTTAAGTTAAAAATAAGATAAAAATCACAAAATAATAATAAATAATTAATTTTTTTTTTCCAAGTTTTTTGGCCAGCAACTGATTTTTATAAAATCTGATTTTTTTTTTTAATTAATACGAAAATTATAATTTGATTTAAGAAAATAATTAATTTTTGATACTTATTCAAGTTTATCATTAAAAATGCAAATGTATAAAATATTTAAGATAATATTAAAACCAAAATTAGTTGTAAGTCATAAGATAGAATATTAAAATAGTTATTATTAAACCAAGATAATTAAATATTATTAATTTTGAAGTCCGAAAATAGTTAATTTTTCAAATAATTTAAATACTTATATTTTGGCGCCAAAATTTAAATTTATTTTGGCTCCAAATTCAAATAATTGAAGAAATAATTAAGAAATTATTTACCAAAATTCGGGGTATTACATATATCATCCAAAAATAATTATAACATCTGAAAAGTGATTATATAATCTAACTAAATTATTTCAATATGAATACATCATTAAGGAATGTGAAATAGTGTATGAAGGTGGGTTGTAGTGGGTTAAGTGTGGTGATGTGCAACTCACAACAATAACAACGAGGTGATCGACGACCAGTGAGTGATGGAAGGTAGAACACGTGGGCAGCAAGGAGGAAAAGGTGCGGCTGCCGCTGGTAATCGAGCTACATGTTGCGGGATTAACTGACAATCGGTTGCAGCAGAGGAGATTGTCGGTGAAAGGGATAGGAATGTTCTAGAAGCAGGAAGGAAGTGAGTCGAAAGTCGAAAGAGAGAGAGGAGGTGGCAGCGATGTTGGTGGTGGTGGTGTGAGAGAAGAGGTAGGAGAAAAATTGTTGGGTCTATAATAAATTTAGTGTAGACCGGGTCCATACAAGACCTTCTATAGACCTTATTAGAACTTTTTTTTGTGATTTAAATCTAGATAACCCTTATCTCAACTTATTTTTCCTAAATTATCTTATTTGAACTTATCTAAACTTATTGTTTATGAAAACGTGAAAATAAGATGAACTTAACAACGCGTTATCTTATTGTTGCACTTCACAATCAATTAAAGATACCTTTATTCACTCCACTTGTGTATTGGTTTATTCATTTCCATGCACTAAACATAATCCTTCTTAAAACTACATGCAAAAGCTAGTGTTACTACTTACAACTTTACAAGTATTTAGGAACAAAGGAAGTGTATAAGTGAAAAAACGAGGTAAAAGAGAGCACCTGGATAATGCAAACAGTCAAAACAGGTAAAATGTTATGGGACAGAGGGGGTGTGTGGTTTGTGGCTGTTTCTGAATTATTTGGTGATGACCAGAATTTCATTCTTGTGACTATTTAGTGATTGGTATCTGGAATGGCTGCTTGCTGTTGCATATATAGGGGGGATTGTTGCTCCTCTAAATTATCGCTGGGTACGTATAATGTTTAGTTTTTGTCCTTTGATTAATTCTTCTTTCATAAGATGAATTGTGAACTGCTTTAATTAAATGGCAGTCAGTTGTGCATTAGAGGGAGTAGCATTGTTACTCTCCAATTAATTTATCTTTCATGGTTATTCAAGTGCAATTAGATGACTTCTTAGTTCACCAATTTGGAACAGAAGAAATTCTTGAGTTTCAAGGTGGTAGGGGCCAGAAAATGACAAGATGGAAAAGAAGTATTGACCCTTATAGATTTCAAGATGTTAATGCAAAATTAATGTTGTAGTTGGTGATGATCTAAAAAATGCCCCAAACTCATTACCCCTCTGCTCCATTGAGCTCTTTTCCATTAATGCAACAACAAAAACCAAGGAAATGAAAGAGTTAGTGAAACTGGGTCTTTTTTTCAACTTTTTGGGTAATAAAGAGAAAGTTGTATGGGAAGAGGTAAGAACTCAAATTAAAGAAGGGAGTTAAATTAAGTGTAGATTTTTGTAACGATCGCCACCTATTAATCCAGCTGAAAATCTGAAATTGCTAAGTTCTTCCTCTAGCTAGCTTCATATAGAGTTATGACTAATTAGAATGTATAAAATGCCTAATGAAAGGTTGTATTTGGATTCACATAAGTCAACTAACAATGATAAGATAACTTAAACTTATGTCATTAGAGTAACTTAAGATGATCACTCTGTCTCAGTAGTCAGTACTCTCAAACCTCAAAAAGTGAATGCAGAATGCTCGTGTATAAAAATGATGATAAGCGACATTTGTGTACTAGATTCTATGTTAAGTTCCCTCAAGGGTTTGGCTACATTGTTAGCTTTGAATAGAGTTGTTTCTTCTTTAGCATTCTTTACCGCTAATGTCAGCTTTTACACCATTATAAGGCTAACAGATTCTAGTACTTAGTTTTTGCTCTAACAGTATAAAATGAATGCAAATTATGTGAGGATATGTTCTAACATATGCTTGTTTGTGTTCTATAAGTTTGGTGGTAAAAGCGAGGTTTACAATCTAAGGTTTGTGGAGTTCGGAGTTCAGAAATTTGTGAAACTATATGCTAACTGATTGTTTCTTTTATTAGATGGCGTAATGGCATATGACATATTAGCATCTTCAACAATTTGAAGCAATATCTATTATACGGTCTATTTTGACAGCTTCAATAATTTTTTAACCACCAGAGCTTGGAGGAGTCAAAAGTGGCGCTGGAAGTTATCCAACCAGCAATGATTGTCACTGATGATTGTTGCACATGGTTGTCGGAATTGCAAAATGGTACCATGTTTTGTCCAAGATGGCATGTTCGTATTGGATTTCATTATTGGAGTTCAAATGGTATGAAAGCTGCCTCCAAATCCATGCTTGATATTTATAGCTACATTGGGATTTATGTGTTAAGTGGCATCGTCAATTATCATACATGTCTAACAACTTTTATCCTTTATCCTGCAATACTATGTCAGGTGTACAAAAATTTGAGAGGCCGTCCCTAAATCTTCAATCTATCAAATATTGTTGGGCACCTGAAGATGTGGTTATTATATGTTTCACTTCAGGTACTAATGTGCTCCAATCTTCTAATTTTTTTACATATGAACTTGTAAACATAGGGGAATTAAATTAGTTCCATACTAAAGTTAATTTGCGTATATATTAGTTATGATGTACATGCAAAGTTGTATCTCCAATTCAAACCCCTCATTGTTTAGCTCATCAATAGACTGATTATCTTTTTCCGTATGAATTTTCAATATATGTATATGAAATAGAGATGAAAAAGATAATCATGCTTAGGCCCTACTCATGCTAATGCCTTATAATTATATAAGCTATTCAATTTCCTCTATTAAAATGCACCTTCATAAACCTAAAAAGTATTTTCAGTGAGGTACCGAGTTTCAGATTAATCACAGCTAGTTACGTGAAAGCCTTATGCTATCAGAAAAGACCAAGTTACATACACGTATGACATAGAAATTCTGTAATACAAGTACTAGTTACGGCCTTGCCAAAATCACGACCTCTTCCCACATCAAATTCCACTCCCTTCTTTTACAAAACAACCTTTTCCCACATCAAGATCCCCCACCTCCATTGAAAGGTATAACTAGTCCTTACATTTCTTTAAAGGTGATTTTACATCTGTTATTTAGCATTCTAAATTAGTTTAAATACTTTCTTCTTTATAGGGTCTACTGGCAAACCAAAAGGAGTTACAATAAGCCATGGTTCATTAATAGTCCAATCCTTGGCAAAAATTGCTATTGTGGGTTACACAGAAGACGATGTAAGTCTCTTTCCATTGTCCCTCTATTTGTAATAAAATTTAATTATTAGATAGTAAGAAATATGAAAGCAAAAAGTACTCTCCCTTCCCTCTTGTGGCATAGAAAAGAGCAAGATATTTGTTGAAGAATGCATGATTCCATTTGCCATATCTAAGACCTTTATTGGTACCTTGAAATGAAATTGAAAAGAATGAAAAGCATTGATGATCTTTTTACGTGTTCTTCTTTTTCTTAGGTATATTTGCATACTGCCCCACTGTGCCACATAGGTGGGATATCCTCATGCTTGGCTATGCTAATGGTAGGAGGTTGTCATGTATTGTTACCCAAGTTTGAAGTTAAAATGGCAGTGAAAGCTATAGAGGAATATCATGTGACTTCATTCATAACTGTCCCAACTATGCTAGCTTCTCTGGTTTTTATGATAAGGTACTTTCAGATTACATGTAATTGACCTTTTTTTTTTTTCCTATGAAAATTGAGTGAAGTATGCATAGAGTAAAACATGTGATCTTCACTAATTGGTTTCTAAAGTTGCTCCTCTCTTTGGTGATTGGTAAGGAGTGCTAGTTGATGCATAATCTTACTCCTGATTTCAGTGGTAGTAACTTTTGTGTGAAAAATCAATTCTTAGAAGTTTCTCACTTTTCATGATACCCTTTTTTTTTTTTTTGGGGAGGGGGGGGGGATTCGTGGGAATCAGTGAAAATATAAGTAAAAGATACAATCTTGATTCCCATAATTAGCATAGTGTATGTTTGCAAAGTAGGGTTACTGTGTACACTATATATTTTGAATAGTAATGCTAAGGCTTCTTAGGGAGTAGACGAGTAGTAAATTTTCTGACATGGAATCAACTATCAAGAAATACCCTTGTAATCAAACTCTACAATTCTTGTTCTCTTCCATCTCTTTTAATTTTTTTTCCCTTTTTTTTCAAAGGACACATTTTCTTCCTCTTCTGACATGGCATGGCAGACGGGGAAACCCTTCACACCATTACAATAACCAATGCCTATCAGGCAACCTGGAATGTACATCAAAGCCTTGGTTCCTTTTATTCAATCTTTACTCGGAAAAGTCAAGTATGCTACGGGAGTCACTGTGTTTTGCAACACTGCTAAGGTCTTAATGTTTTGAGTAAAATTACACATGTGCCCTTGAAAATGGATCATAATTTCATTTTATCACCAAAATTACACCGTTGCACCTTCAAATGTAACATGTTTAGGTGTCTGAAGGGCCTCACACAAATATGTTAAGAGACCTTTGACATGAACTTTGGCAACAAGGTGATAGTATCTTCTAGACAACTTGACAAACATCATAATGCGAGTGCTAATCTTGATGAAATTGGTTGGGTTCTCATTATTCATTTTTGTGTGTATTAAACAAGATTTGATGATAGGCTTTATGTACCACCCATAAGACTTTAAATAACTAAACTAGTTGGCATCTACTATGTTTTACTATTTGTGCTATCACTTTGTTTTACATATTTCCTTTTCTAGGCACAATGAGTCAAGGAAATTGGATCTAACTGTAAAGAAAATTTTGAATGGTGGTGGGAGTCTTTCTATCAAACTTGTTGAAGATGCTATAAGATGCTTTCCAACAGCCAAGCTTCTCTCTGCTTATGGTATTTACCGCTTGTCTTATTCTCAATGGTTTTCTTGTATTTACTACAGATTTAATTCAAGCAACGTTCTTGGTCACCAAGAAAAAAAAAATGTCTGGAGTTTTCTGGCTCTTTTTTTTTTTTAATAACTGTCTTATGCATCCCTCTTCAAAGTGGGCAAGTTTAGGTATCTACCACAATACTGTTATGCAAGATTTGAAGCATATGTATATGTGAGACTCTTGCTATGCCCTCTATTATATCTTATGTTGGTGCACTAATCCGGTGGGTGACCATGTTATTGCATAGAAATTTATGGGTTAGACTCAAGTGAATGCAGATTTTGGATTGATATTCTATTAATGAAATATTTGGTAACATACCAAATTAGTTTTCAAGTCCAGGCCGTCCAGTCGTCTAAGCCATATATCCCCATGATCATTTGTGTGTTATGTTGCAAAATTTAGTGTTATCTTGGTGTTAATGCTTAGCATTGACTTGAATAGGTGTGTGTTGATCAATATATGGGTTAGAAGTAATTTTTACTCCTTTTAGGCTGGGTGGGGTTGGGGTGGGGCCGTGGGGGGATATTGTCCGTGGCCAACTGTTGTATTGATTTTGCTGCTTTTGTTCAAGTTAAATACGAAGTAACATTTAGTTTGTACCAAAAGGCTAATTTTCAATAATGTACATGAACTGCCATCCATTTAATCTAAGAGTTGGTACAACTTGGACTTCTTAAGCTTATTTGAGCTTTTTAATCTTTAGCTTATTCCACCTTTTAAAACTCGGCTTGCCCTTCATTTGGATCTAGGACTAAGAATTTCTTAGGTATTCACTGAAACTTGAACAATAATACCTGTCAATAATTAAAACCTGGAATGAAATTTCACTAATATTCGCCCATGAGGCCATGACAATGTATTTGCACTTGATCTTGGGTGAAAAATTGATAATTCGCCAAACTACAGAGAACTAAATTCTTTCACAAAACGGATTAGTTCTGTCCTTACACCTGGAGTTTTTGTACTTGCAAATGACTGTAAAATCGATCTGCTCCATTTTTTACATTTGCTTTTTTGGTACACTCTTCTTATTTCTAATATTGACTGTAGGCATGACAGAGACCTGTTCTTCTCTCACCTTCATCACCATCTATGATCCAACTGTTAATAATTCAAACCAGAACCCAAAGGAAATAAGTGGAATTATTTCCAACTCTGTACACCCAGCAGGAGGTGTCTGTGTTGGGAAGCCAGCACCTCATGTTGAGCTACTGATAATAAAAGAGGAATCTTCTCATGTGGGGAGAATTATGACTCGGGGACCTCATGTTATGATTCGCTATTGGAGTCAAATTAGTGCTGCAGTAATTGACTCCGGAGCAGATTGGTTTGACACTGGTGATAGTGGACATATTGATGCTCATGGAAACTTGTGGCTTGTTGGTCGTAGGAATTGTTGTATCAAAAGTGGCGGGGAGAATGTGTATCCTGAAGAGGTAAGAAAAGCCATTAATCTCCATCATCCATTTTGCTTTTTGCAGTGTAAAATCCAGGAATAAATTGTTTCTTTGCTGTTCTACAATTACAAACAGAAGGGTTGTACAACTTGTCTCCTTTCCCACCCCCTCTCTCAGCTATTGTTGTTGGGCTTATATTGTTACTACATCGGTGACACAGGTGGAGGTTGTGTTGTCACAACATCCTGCAATTACAAATGTAGCTGTCATTGGACTCCCACATCCACACTTAGGTGAAATGGTTGTTGCTTGTGTTCAAATTAGAGAAAACTGGATATGGACTGACTTGAAGGTTGGTGAGTTGCCAAGCAATGTGGAATGTCACTTATCAACCAGCGTGCTAAAGGATTATTGTCGACAGAAAAGTTTAACCGGGTCTTTCTCTAGTCCTTTGTCCTTACCCTCTCATCTCCCCCTTCCTGAAACAAAGGAAAACAGAATACCTGTCTGTTTTCTAGCTTTCAATTTTCCTCTCGGGAGTGATTATATTTGTTTGTTGACTGACAATTTTCTGTAATATTATGCTTGTAGGTTTAAGATACCAAAAGCTTTTATGGTTTGGAGGAAGCCTTTCCCGCTTACAAGCACCGGAAAAATTAAAAGAGACCAAGTTGAGGCAGAGGCTATGTTGCATTTACAACCTTTACTTTCTAATCTTTAACACAAATGTTAAATACGACTTCATATTTAACAACATTTTACATGACAATATTTTTTTCATTCGGGTATAGTTATTTTATATTCATTACAGATTTTTTTATATTATATATATATATATATATATATATATATATATTTCTGGTAGTCTTTGTTAAATTAGTTTGACAAAGAGAAACAAACAATTAAAGGAAGAGATAATAACAATGTTCTGAAATAAAAAAACTAAAATATGCTCTTTTACTATTACAGCAGATATTTATAAAGAAAATTTTTCTGTTTTATACTGTTATACTTGTATATTACTTCCCCCTCTGATTAAAAGTCTCATGGTGAATTAAAAGATAAAGGGGCTTACTTGATTAAAAGTGAAAGAATTACCATGCAAACCTTGAGACCTGAAATTAATGTATTTCAAATGAGACGAACAAAAATTACAGTGGTAGTTTTGATTACGAGTTTACATCATACTATTCTCCGTATTGACTTTATTTAACTTAGTTTGTTTCCCAATGAGTATGCAACTACGCATGCATATCCTATGCTTGTTTCAACATCGTTCTGTCAATAAATATAATGAAAGAAAAAAGGTTACCTATCCTTATGATATTCCTACAATTATCAACAAAAAAGCCAAGATTAGAGCTGTCTAAAGGCCATCTTCTCCTTGAAGCTTGAATCACCAAGTTGTACCAACTGTATGGTACATTACCTTTAATCCTTCATAAAATTAGATCATAGTCACTTTCTTTTTTGGTTACTAAAGCAAGTATATATGTTTGTTCCAATCTTACTCAAGACAAAAGCTAAAAAGGTGACACAAACATCATTATTATAACACTCACCATGTTAATCTTCCTCCTTTTCTTTTCTGAAGTTCTTTCATCATAAGTTCAAATGTTAGTGCATAATTTCTAGTCCTACCAAACAAAAATCACAATGCCTAAAAAAATAAGCAAATCAAGCATTTTTGCTCTTCTAAAGTGCATATCCACATGCCAAGATCACACCAATGGCGATTCAAGACAAGGCACAAGGGTAAGGAACTTAAGTGATAGAACAATAGAGTTGCAAATAAGGGTAGGATCAATTCTCAGGAAGGTACACACATTGAAGCCGGGATCATCGAAGCGACTCAAGAGCAAGAGTATCTATAAAGCTTATATGCCTCAAGGTAATGATCAAAATAACGGCGATGATAATGGGAAAGGTAATATAGTTGTGAAGAGGTATGCATACTATTATGATGAAACATGCATGCCATATGTATGGATACATGATGCAGGAGGAAGTTTTTCAAGGATGGTTAAACAACAGTATATTAGTCTTGAAGATCTAAGAGATTGTTCTGAAATCAAGATATTTAGAGACCACCAAAAAGGGTGTATTGCTGTTAGAAAAAAATTCAGGGCTGATTTCTGCTGACCCTGCTAGTTTTAACGAACAAGTCATATATACTACTACAGTTGTAAAAAAATTGGGATTGTTTTTGTGTTTATGATTTTTTTTAGTATGTTTAATATCAAATCTGTGTATTTTGATCTATGTGGTTTGATATATTGTTTAAGATTTGGATTTTTTTTTTTTTAAATAGAAAAAAAAATATATACAAAGTTAGTAAAGTCTTCTCTCAAGATTGTAAGTTCGATCAAGATTTGGAATCAAAATGATATTTTTGAATGTCTGTGTCGATTGGCTTTTAAGTGATTTTCATGGATATTATTACAATAGTTATAAATTTCCATATTATGCATTTTTTGTTAATATTCCCTGCATACCGTCCATGTCACTATGAAAATCGAACTATTTATTTTTTTTAAAAAAACCAAAAACCGCTAGATGGTTTGTTCGTGATTTTTTTGTTTTCAGCTTTTTTTTTTTTTTTTTTTTTTAAGAAACCAAAAAAAGTTGTTTCCACTTTTCTGTTTTTAAAACAAAGGAACTAAACACTATTGAGATACTAAACGTACTTGAATTAATAGTTTGCTTAAAGCTCATATAAACAAAACAAAATAATAGAAATTGCTAATTCTTAATTAGCAGTTTTGTTTCGAACCAGTAATTTTATTAAAAATAATTTTACTCCGTAGTGTATGACGTGGTACACAGGGAACATTAGCAAAAGGTGACATAATATTGAAATTTATAACTTTTCCAACAATTTCTATGGAAATCGCTCATGGCTTTTAGTATTTGGTGTGAAGTTTAGACAAAAAAAAACTATAATAATATTGCACATGACTATTTGTGAGATAAAAAGCTAACATAATTTTGTCGATTGTCCTTGTTCAAATGTGTCATTATAATATTTTATAAAACACGTTTTTTATTTTTTTTTCTATAATAATGTCAATATATTTTAATCTTAATTGGTGCTTTACACAAAATATTAAATATAGTCAAATTGGTATTTTATTTTATTTTATTTTTTATTTTTATACTATCTAATATATTAAAAAAAAATATTAATTTAGGCCTAGTTCTCTTCACCTAAAAAAAAAATATTCTACAAAAATAATTTCAATTATGTAAAACAATCTTAGTTTATATTAGCAAATATAAGTTTAGTTCAATTAATAATTTTAGTATAGTAAAAAAAAAAATTATTCTTTAAAAATTAGTAACTTTAAAGAACAAATATTATATTGAATCAGTAAAAATAATTTCAGTTCTAAAAATTAATTCCACTTCAGTAAAAATAGTTTAAGTTTAGCAAAAATAATTTCAGTTTAGTATAATTAATTTCAGTTTAACAAATATAGGGTGTAGTGTTCAAGTCTTATATTTAATGATAATTAATTAAATATATTATTGGTCAAAGTTGAGCGTTCGCAAGTTTGTCGGGCAAATTGGGCAATTATTTGCAACAGAGGAAGTAATACAAGTTATTTGATTTGTGGAAAATACACCCTATGTTTTTTTTAGAATGCCTCATTTTGAATGACACATTTGTCAATGCAAAACTTTGATCAAATATATCTTCATTTACCATTAAATATATATAATGAGTTGATATTAAAAACCTATACATTGAAACGACTCCATCAAATAACCATATGTCTTTGTTTAATCTTATACTCCATCTGATCCATATTATTTGTTACATTTGTCATTTTTACGTGGTTATTAAGGAAATGCTTTGGGAGTACATAAAATGAGAATAGTTGCTTTGGATGTAGGTAAATATTTTGATAAATGAGAATAACTGCTTTTGTTTTTGTAAGAAAAATGAGAATAACTACTATAGAAGTAGGTAAAAATTAATTTTAATTTAAGAAAATATTAAAATATAATAAACAAAGGAAGACGCTAACAATGACAAACATAACAAATACTCCGTGATATGGAATAAAGGAAGTATTATAAAAAGTTAGAAACTCACATTCGAAAACTATACATTAGTGTTTGTTTGGTTGTGAAAGGAACTAATTTCCCATGGTAATCTACAATTCATGGGAATTAACATCCCTTATCTATTTCTTATGAATTAGCTTTAATGTGTTTGGTTGAGACTAGGGAAATCACATGTCCTAGAATTTGGAATAAAGCTGAACAAAATTGAGCCAAAATCGAGTGAATTTCATCGATTAAGCCATCAGGGATTTTAAAGATAATTATCATATGTGGGAATGGCCTAAGCAACGGCCAAATCAAAAATCGAACATAAATCAGACATAAAACGAACAAACTCCAGCATAAAAATTGCAAAATCAGGGAAAAATTGAGAAAAAACTTAACAAAATCGCAACAAAAAATCGCTTAAAAAATTGAGAAAAATCGCATAAAAATGCTCAAAAAAATCGCAGCAAAAATCATAAGAATATAATGAATAGAAAGAATTGAATCATAAGAATTGAATTGCTTACCTAAGAACAAGAGAAGAGAGAAAGACAAGCTTTATGGAGAGAGAGAGAAGCTGGTAATTTGAGCATGGGTTTGGAGGATGAGTAGAATGCGTGGGTTTTAGAGATTTTGGGAGGGTTTTATTTGAGCGTAAATTTACATTTTTGCCATTACTATTAGAGTGATCTCAGCTGTTGGATCTAGTTCTATTTAATGGTTGTGATGCATTCTCATATATGATAGATTTCTCACTTGACCTATTCTCACCGGATCCCTTCCCGAATATATATATATATATATAGATGTTGAAAACTTCCCAAAGAGTGTAACTTCAAATAGTCAAGCCTATTTATGATTTCCAAGTATGCAAGCTTGACATAACCAAAGATTTGAAGGAAACAAGAGTAGAAGTGGATTCATCGAATTTGTAGGGGGTTAATTATACTTAAAGATTACAGATGCAATTAAGTTTAAATAATAGCTGGCCCACACTGCTAAATTAAGGAGAAACACTCCCAAATTTTATGTTTGCATCAGTAAAACTTTCTGTTTCTATGTCTATTTTCTAACAAGGTTCAAGCAAAGAGAGTTTTTAGAGTTCGTTTATTGAAATTAATATCAAAAGCAAAGTAAATTAGGGCCAGGTATTAGATTGCAAATCAATTTTTAGCACATCTATAAGTAACATATCAAGTAATTTGGGCACTTGTTGCTGCATCACAAGTGAAGAGAGGTATGCATTCAGTCCGATGAACTCCAAAATATATTTCTCGATCCTGGCATTATATTTTTTGGTGCACCTGGCCATATATTTAAGTTCAAATAAAATATAAGTTGAAATTTTTTCTGGATCCTTAATTTCATCATATATTAACATACTCGAACAGAGAATACGGAGTAATAAGTTAAGCAGCAACTCATCTAATTATCTTCACTGTGTGTGCTGCAGACAGACTATTATATCTTACAAATGTAGCTTGTTAACTTTGCAGTGCATTGAGGTATTAGCAAACCGATAAACAAACAGCTTAGGAGTTGTAAGTGAACTTGACGCCGGAGCTGCCATCCCCAAGACAATTACACCGTTCATGAAAACTGCTGATTGACCGTGCTAGGCATGCATCCCATTGTTTGCTTTCAGACATTGTTTCTGCAACTGTATCAATCTGTGATTGCCTAATGTTCACAACCTTCTCAGATTTAGTTATGCACAGAGCAGCTAACTCGGCCCCTGCATGTATACAGTCATATGGCAAAATCAGTTATTTCAACTACAATCTACAATCACAGCTAAAGAAACTTGTAAGATGTGTTTTCATCCTATACATTGGATTTAGATCAATACAAATTTACTTATTTATCCAAGCATTGCTAAGCCCATAAAATTTTCAAAAAAAATCATTACAACATCCCAGATTGGTTTCAGCTTCCACATGTATGTCCTATGTCTCTTATATTTACACCTTGAATGAGTTGTACTCAAAATAGCAAGTGAACAGAACCTCCTACCACAGCACCATGCCCACCATCAATATACTACCATCAGTTGGATGGCAGCACCACAGCAGTAAGTGTCGTTCATTTTTGTTACCAACTAAACTACCAAATTACTTCTACATATTGTTTTGCCTTTGACATTCAATTCTACATAGAAAAAAAGGAGGAGAATTTAACTATTTGAGAATTTTCCTACTAATCAGCATTTAGGTTCATAATGGCAAGATCTATACTCTCCTAAGAAAATTAGAACATCCATGAAAGCCCCAACGTGTTAGAATTCAACCTTTGAACACTCAAACTGTGACACTAAGATGTGGCCAATACACGCTCAGCTAGGATACAGCTGCAATTTCCAGAACTGCTACTCATCTAACCACATTCCACACAGGCTCTTTTCTAGAGGTTGAGGTTTTTGACTAAGTAAACAATTCCCAAAAAAGGAGCCTTCTATCATATTAAGCGTCCTTAATCACATCAAAGAGCATTAGCTTGATTCTAATCAGAAAATAAATTGATCTTCCAATCAACTTCTCAAAATTCAACTTCAACCACAAGATGAAAGCTTTACATAGCAATCTCAAGTCAAATGATAATCGGAGAGAAAAAGGCAATGGTCTTTTGGTAAAAGTGTACAGACAAGGTTTTTTTTATTTTATTTTTTCCTTTTTTCCTGTAGAAACAGACAAGGTTGAATGGCCTAGAGCAACTACATAGTCCAACAACACCAAGAACAATAATCAGTATGGACTTTGTCATATTCAGATGCATGCAACCTTACCCTAAAGCCTAAACAATAATAAGAATGTCCCACAGATACAACATTATGAACAAAAAATTGAAGTGGTGTCCGCGAAATGGAGTAAATTTAGAATCCCTTCACACAAAGTATTTCAAGTACTTTAGTCCGCAACGCCTGAAGGGATTCATGAAATTTATCTCACATATCAGTATCCTATCAATTGATCACTTTCCCACATCAAAAACATCTTCAATTATATCTATTCATCAAATTTCCAAGAGTATAGTAATAAGCAAGCCCAAATAATTTGACCAAGAAATCTATGAAAAACCTCATTTTCATACTGTCAGCAGCGCATAAAACAGAACAATCAATGAGTCAGCAATAACAATATTCCACCAAAAACCAATACTGCTAATCCAAAACCCAAATCATATAATCCATAAAACTCATCATACATACCCACCAAAACACCCCAAATATTGAAACTTCACCCCCAGAAATTAAAACATTACCCTAAAAATATGCAGGAAAAACATTGTTTTACATAATCAGAAATTATAAAATAAACCGTAACACAAGATAATTGAAAAAGGGCATTACCTTGAAGAACATGACCTTCAGGGCCAAATGGCCAATAGAAGAATCCCCATAAACATCACAAACAACTCTGCCTAGAATAACACCAGTCCAAGCAATGGCGCTGCGAGTCAATACCAGTAGCAATTAAAAGAGTGCAAAAGTAGTAGCAGAAAGTTTGAGATTATGACCAAAGATGGATCCTTTCTCCATTTTCATCAGTGTTGAATTTTTATTTATTTATTTATTTATGGAGTTCAACCACTAATTTAAAGAGGTTTCTTGTTTACTTTGTTGTGCACTTTTGTTTTGTTGACCTCTTCTCAAGTTTATCAGTAACTTGGAAAATTTGGAAACTCTATTGAGGTCATGTTAGCTCATATTGAAGAGAACAACTTCTTTTATCATAACATTCATAAGGGTACCATAGCGAACAGGCACTTATAATCAAACTTATAGGCTATAGCAAATTAAATTTCCATATGCTTTGTAACAATTCTAGCTCATAATAAGAATTGAGACAATCAGACAACAACACATTTCCACTCCATGATAAACTTTTAAAAGTTGCTAACCAAGAGAAAGACGGAGGTGGGAGGGAATCCATTCAACCTTATTGACAGCTTCAATGCCTTTAATTGCAGAGATTATCACTATAAATTTTACAAGTGCCTGATACCTGTGAGAGACACCAATCCTAGAGTTTTGAAAGTTCAGAACGAACTTAAAAGAGGCAATGAGGCATATAAAGGATTTCAGAAGAACAAGACTCTTGAGTCAAAACAGTTCATAAGCACACAACACAGCAACCATTCTCCATCATTGGGTACAAATGCTCCATTTTACAACCTTTTGGAACCCTAAAACAATTTTTTTTTTTTTTTTTCCATATCTATGACAAGCATCAAGGCTATTATAAGAGTGACACGTCAAGGACAGGAAATACAGGAGCAACAAATGCATTACGTAGATCACTGACCTCTGGAAACATCTTACTGGATGAGTACATTCCCTGGACAACACAGGCGACGCTCAGAAGACTATCAGCAAAAAAAATGTCGAGAAAACATGGCAGTAATTTGCCTTTAAACATTTGCTATGAACAAACAACTCACTACTGACACTAAATTAAAGCTAATTACTCGTAAGGAACTAATGTTCTGGGTTACATCCCACTATTTACAAGATGAGATCATCACAACACATACTAGATCAACAGCACTCTTATCTCTATCGATGACTACTATTTGCAACAAACTGATCTCTACTTTCAACCCCGAAAACCCCTTCCCTTCGGATTGTGAATTCACACGAAGACGGTGGTAAATGAGGCGCGAAAACAACATGGATATGTCTTCTATTACGCATATTAACAGAATACTTCCCATCTTCCTCAACAAATCCACTCCCCTCACCTACAACCTCCTCACTTCTCGATATAAACAACCTTGTATTAACACAATTAGCCCAAGATAAACCCAAAGCCGGACAAACCCGTCTCCCGGAAGTATACAAACACGCCAAATTCCCTATCCTCAACCCATTAATCCCTTCATTATTCCCCACAAAATCAACCACTTGATTGGTTATTACCACTGCCAACCCAAACTTTTCAGCTAGTGCTCTCAATTTCCCAGCAATCTTAAAAAAGAAAGACAACCTCCGCTTAAGATCAGCAGGGGTGTTATCAAAATCAGACCTGAAAACGGCAGCAATCGAATCAATGATAATCAGCTTAATCGGCCATTGGGTCTTATTCCTTCGAACAAGAAAAGAATCTAACTTGAGCAAAACGTCGAACAGGTGGTGTGCATCATCAACCGCCTGAACTAAAACCTTATCCAAGGGATCATACGATGTAGAACCCAAATGGGTATTGTAAGAATCGACGAAAGAGAGAGAAAGCTGCCGGAGCCGGCGATCGGGAAAGGGGAATTCGGTGTATAGATAGAGAGATGAAGCAGAGAAGCCGCCGAGCGTGACGGGGAGTTGGGCAGAGAGGAGGAGCTGAAGGCAGAGTTGGGTTTTGCCGGAACCGCTTTCGGCAACGATTTCAGTGATGGATTTACAAGGAATGCCGCCGGAAAGAAAGCGGTCAAGGATCGGACAAGAGAGAGAAAGCTTTGGGGTGGTGATTGGCTGATTATTAGGGTGAAGGAGGATGGAGGGTTTCATTGGAAATGAGAGAAGGAGAGGAATAATGGTTAATTTAATTTGCAGAAATTGAAGAATTTGATCAAGTTTCTATGTTTGATGTTTTCTTGGAGATTGGAAAGGATGGCGGGAATTATATGAGAGAGATTCAAATGCAACAAATGAGGTTATTTTAATTACTGTACCTATATATATATATATTCTATTTTAAAAAAGTTTTTAATTGAATTTCTCATATTCTCATTTTTCATTCTAGCAAATCCCTATATATATATATGAGATCACGTGAGAACACATCCCTTATATGACAATCATAATCTATATGAGAACAAATCTAGGACCATTGATCAAATTAAATCTAATGGTAAAAAAAAAAAACATAATAATGGCATTTCCGTAATTTCGTGAATTACAGCTCCTTCTCTCTTTCCTATTCTTCTTCGCTTTCACGTTCAACATCTCTTTCTCTCTCTAACCTTTTTGCCACACTCTCTCTCCTCAGATCAGTGTTTTTTGGAAAATTCTATACCAATTTGAAGTAAGTTTATCAATATTATGATCTAATTTGTTTTCAAAAATTCGATTATTTTACGTAATTTACTGAAATCGATACGAACTTACTTGATTTTAGTTTGATTTTAGGTTTATTTGAATTTGGTTTATGTATTGAATATATTGGATTGGGTATTTCGATGATAAATCTGATTCTATACTTCAAGAGCTACATTTTTACTCAATCTCTAAAGAATCGTTGTTTGTTTTAGATTTTTTTCAACTATGGTTGTCGAATTTATAATGTACTGAGACTGGTTATGCAATAAGTACTCAAACTTATTTAATCTTGTGAATATTTGAGCTATAGTTGAAGTTTTGTGCTTTATCCATTATTTTTTATTATGCCCACCACCTGTTAGACGAATACCCAGTAGAAAATAACATGTTTTGCTTTTATTTTTTTTTAACAAAACATGTTTTGCCTTTCTCACTCTTTGAGCTCATATTATATTTGTTGCTCATTTATGAAATATGAGGTTTTTGATTTTGTATAGCATATCTGATGAAATGTATGTTCTGTTTGGAGTTATAGTCATTTGTTAAATTAGCACTAAGTATTTGCTCAGCAACTAAATATTTGCTCATTTGCTAAATGAGCAAAAAATTGATTGCTCATTTCCCAAATGATCAAAAAAATGTTTGCTTATTTTACAAATGAGTAACTAATTATTTGCTCATTTGACAAATGTGGCTCGGCCTGAATCTGAATATTATTTTGCTGACCATTGTCTTAGATCTGCTCAACCTTAACCGTTAGCCAAAATGATTTTGCTTGTAGCTTCTTGGCCATGATCATCCAAGCATTTACTAGCTAGTTTTCTTTTATGCCTTCACTAATACCTCATTGTAGTAAGGAAGTTGGCTTTTTTTTGTATAGTCAGATATGCTACTAATCACAATCTTGTGTGATGTCTGATATATGTGTGCATCTTCTCCAATGTGCTGACAATAACAGCTTACTGGCTTATAAAAAAAACAGGGGTAATGAATGTATTGCTCAACAATTCAGAATGGAGTATTAAAAAAAAAGTGTGGGGTTTGTTGTTTCAGACTTTCAGCCATTCAAGTTGTGTTGGGCTTGGTGGCTCTAGTTTTGGTGTCATTCAGAGATACCTGGCTACCTCCAATACAGACACACAGAACCAAACTCGGAACATTTGGAAGAATGGCTGCATCACTCCATGTATGGTTGATTTTGGGCTCTTTTTTTCATAGCTATTGTAAACCACATTGGGTTGTATTTTTTACTTCTAAGGTTTTATACCCATACCTAGCTTGAACCTTCATAGAGACGTAATAAATACTATTCTTCCAATTCTGAACAACTGGTACATACTTTGTGTTATGAATTTTCAACGGTTACTTTTTTCTATTTGTCTAACTTTGCCTTATGATTACCCTTTTCTTAAAATGAGTAAACAAATATTGCTCATTTAAGCCGATTGATGCAAAAGAGCAAAACAATGTTGCTTATTACAATATTTTGCTCATTTCGTAATTGAGCAAAATATTTTTAATCATTTCATAAATGAGCAAAAATATTTTTGCTCATTTCATAGATGAGCAAAATATTTGCTCATTTCATAAATTGACATAGAAAAATAATTTAAAACATATATATTTTAGCAACAATTCTTATTAATTTATAGAATTTGTTTTATACACCCGGGTGTACCGTACACCTGGAGTAATTTACTAATTAATTTTTGCTCAATTAATAAATGAGCAAATATTTTTGCTCATTTATTAAATGGGCAAAAGTTGATGAGCAAATAACTCCGGGTGTACAGAACAAGCTCTCGTTAATTTATCAAATGCCCTTGGTACTTGTATATTTGCCCTGGTCTCCATTTTCTGCCTACTACCATCACTATGGTTGGGAGGGGAATTACGATTGATATTTTGTGTCCTATGTGTGGTGAAGAGAGTGAGACAACTCTTCATACTCTTGCATTATGTAATAGGGCAGTGTTTGTTTGGTATACTTCTCCACTAAGACTCGAGCTTAGCACTTTTAAGGTTGGATCTTAGAGCTGGAGATGGCGCACACTGATATTATGGTAGGGCATGTTCTGGAGTCTGCTTTGGGATATATTGTTGGGTTTCGTAGAGTCCGACTTTACGCGGAAAAGAAACCCGCCCAAGACCCGCCCACTAATTAAGGCAACTAAGCATGCAATCACATAATTAAACAACAATTAAGAGAGAAAGGGAAAAGGCATTCATACCCTTGACGCGTGCTTCGCTCGATCCCGAGCTCTTACTTCAAAAGCCTAACCTCGCAAATGGAAAGGTCTCCAACGGTTCATACCCTCGAACCCGACTCGAGCGGTCTTAATCCCGAAGGTTAGTCGGGACTTGACCAAATAAAACTAGAGTATTACGAACTTAAGGTTTTCTCACTTTTCTAAGGAGATGTCTTTTTAGTTCAACTCAAGTGTGCTTCCCAAATCCCAAAGCTTGGGTATTTATAGGGAAAGGAGACTTGATCTCCCTTCTCCCATCAATGTGGGAAATTTGCATTTCCCTCATATTATTTTAATCAAAAACAAAATGAAATGCTAATCAATCAACAAGCTCCAAGTGTCACAAGGAGGAAGAGAGAAGGTGAGGACCACCCGGGGGGGACCAAATCACCTTGCTCCCCAAGCCATGCACCAACCTCCTTTGGTCCCCTCCTTGACCGTGAGCTGGCCTAGGGACAACTGGCTGCCAGCCGGCCTTGGCTGCCAAGGCAGCCCAGCTGGCGCCTGGTGCCTTGGCTGTGCTAGCAGCCTAGCCAGCACACGCATGTGCACAGCCAGCAAGCCACACATCCATGCGGGCTGCTGTTGTTGCCTAGCATATGCTGGGCGCTGCCTAGCAAGGCTGCTAGTGCTAGGCGCTGCTCACATCGCAAGCACGCATAGCACAGCACTCGAATGCACAACACGTATTACTAACGAGGCCCAGCCTTACGATGTTGCGTGCTAGCGAGGGGCTGGCTGCTAGGGCCTAGCATGCTAGCAAGCACGCAAAGCACCATGCCTGCGATGCTTGCGATAGCAAGGCCCAGCCTTGCGATGCTTGCGGGCTAGCGATAGGCTGGGTGCTTGACCTAGCATGCTAGCAAGCACGCAAGGCACCATGCTTGCGATGCTTGCGGGCTGTGCTAGGCCATGCCTAGCGTGATGCGATGGCTAGGGCTGCTATGCTAGCACAGCCACACCACACACACGCATGGCACGCATCTTGCGATGCTTGCGCCATGCGATGTGCGTGTGCTTGAGGATGCTAGGCACCGATGACAAGCATAGGTTGGTGACCTCGCCTAGCCTAGCACTCGCATGGCTAGGCCAATGCGAGGCTACGCCTTGGCTCGAACTTGTCGTTTGCTTGATTTACGACGCTCGGTCTCGACGCTCTAAGCTCGATATCCGATGTTTTTGTTCGTAATACTCTGATGACTCATCAAATCCTTCGGATTCATTCGTGTCTCGGATCGGTTGTTCGATTGGGTGCACTCAAGATTAAGCTGTAATATTAATTGTACATTAATATTATTGATTGGAAGCGGCCTCCACCTAGGCATTCCGATCACTTTACCTCACTGAAGAATTAGTTTTCTAATAATTCCGAACCCTCTATCGAAATTATACACTTGTTGGAAGGACACCATTCCTTTCATATATGGTTACGAAAAAATGCCTGGGTTTTTGAAGGGAAGATGGTTGATCTAGCTGGGATTCAACAAAAAGCTATGAGCATAATTGGAGAGTATGAGAAAGCCAATAAATCTACATCAATTATTAATCTGGGTGCTGCTAGTGTTGTGTAGAAATGGGAGAAGCCTGAGGCGGGTTGGTATAAGGTAAACTTTGTACTAGTTGAGAATTTTTTACTCATTGTTTACTCATTTGATAAATGAACAAAGAATTGTTGCTCATTTTGATAAATGAGCAAAAAATTATTTGCTCATTTGATAAATGAATAAAAAATGTTTGCTCATTTGATAAATGAACAAAGAAATGTTTGTTCATTAGAAAAATGAGTAAAGAATTGTTTTCTCATTTGATAAATGAGCAAAAAATTGTTGCTAATTCTTCTTCTTCCCATAGCATTAATTACTTCATCTCTCTAAGATTCTCTTACCTTTTCTCATTTGATTTTCATTTGTGCATTATTACTATATGTGCTTTTGCTCATTTTATTTCAATTATCTCGCTTTAATTTTAGTTTAGTTTGCTCATTTTAATTTCACTTTGCTCATTTGAATTCAGTTTGCTCATTTTATGCCAGTTTGCTCATTTGAATTTAGTTTGCATTAACCTACTAGCTCAACAAGTAGAGCATTCTGCAAATACCCAAAAGATGTGGGTTCAATCCAACGTAGGTTCATTTGTGTAATGAGGAGACAAAGCGTTTATATGAGAGTTTAGTTGTAACAAATTTTCTATAGTTTTTAATCATTTCAAGCCAATTTTTTGCTCATATATTTTTTTGCTAATTTGATTTTCTTTATTTTTGATTAATTTTTTTAGTTATTTATAGTTATAACCTATGTAGGAATTGAACCTACATCCTATGCATTTGCATAGTGTTTTACCAGTTGAGCTAATAGGTTTTATCATATGTTATAAATATTTTTGCATATGTTCTAAAATTTACTGAACATGTTCCAAAGTTTACTGCAACCATTATGAAATTTTTTGCTTATGCTCTAGAATTTTTTACCTAAGCTCTAAATATATGTCTTAAATTATTTTTCTATGTTCTAAATTTTTTCACCTTATGTTGTCCAATTGATAAATTAAAAAGAATTGTTGCTCATTTGATAAATGAACAAAGAATTGTTTACTCATTTGATAAATGAACAAAGAATTGTTGCTCATTTGATAAATGAGCAAAGAATTGTTTGCTCATTTGATAAATGAGCAAAGAATTGTTGCTCATTTGATAAATGAGCAAGGAATTATTTGCTCATTTAATAAAAGAGCAAGAAATTGTTTTCTCATTTGATAAATGAGCAAAGAATTGATGCTCATTGATACATGAGCAAAGAATTGTTTTCTCATTTGATACATGAGACTTAACTTATGTACATGTCATCTTTCATTTATATGGCTATTCATGACAATTGAGAGTTTTGAGAACTATTTAGGCATATATACCTTAATCCTTCCATATAATCAATTTTAGAAATAACAACATCCAAATGCAGTAACATACTCTTCTCGCTCATTAGAATTTAATTACAGTAACACACTCTTTGAAAATTTCACAAAAATTAAACCTAAAAAAGTTCACTCAACAGAATTCGAAAATGAGCAATCAAATAAGAAAATACAAGTCATCTAGAAACCAAATTTTAGGTCATAATTCCAAAAAATACGAAAATTGCAATAGAATTCGCAAATCAGCAATTAACATAAACCGGACAATGAAATCAGCGGATTTTTTTTCCCAAATTAAGCTTTATACGGAAATTATTTACGAAATTGGTCTCGTGGCAAAATTATTTCCCAAACTAAGCTTCTGAGGTGAAACGCTGTCTCGGACAGCGTTTTACACTCAGTTTTTTTAAAAAAAAAAATTCAAGACATAAAACGCTGCCTGAGGCAGCGTTTTATGGTAGTTTGACTTTTTTCAAAAACTTCGTATTTCATACCTGTTTTATACAAATAAACGCTGCCTGAGGCAGCGTTTATATCTTTAAATGAAACGCTGCCTCAGGCAGCGTTTCTTGCGGGAATTATAACGAATTCCAGGCCTTTTTTTCTCACTATTTCACGCAATTTACACACTCTCTCTCTCTAACTCTCATTGTCAGCAACAAAGAACCACAGCCGTTGCCAACGCCTCCCCTGCCGTGCCGCCGCCCCTGCCGCCGCCAAAGTGAACGGAAGTTGTTGCCGGCATTGTCTCACTCACTCTTTAAATCCGGGTAAACCCTAAATTCGTAGTACATTGTTGAATTTTACATTGAATAGTTGGTAGTAGATAGTTGTTGTATGTTGTAGCAAATTGTGATGTAAATTGTATTAATTTGTTGCTAATTAGTAATGAAATGTGATAAATTGTTGAGCTTTGGGACCAGCGGTTGGAGTCCATCGTTGACGGTCACCTGTTTCAGGGTGTTATGGATCCGCGTGATCCTTACATGGTATGGTACAGGCAGATTACACGCCTTTTCATCAACCCTACCTACACCCCACCGTCCACGCACTACCATCCAGCTTATGATGTTATCAGCGGACTTGTGAGTTTTTTCAGTTTCTTGTTTTCCAAAATTATTTGAAATTTTATATCATATTACTAATTCATAGATGATTACTGCAGGCGGGGGATATGGGTGCGATGGTTGATGCACTTTCAGATGCCTTAGCAGCCGTACCCACCAGAGCCCAGGTTGAGCGGGTGCGAGATATGGGCATACATAGCTTGCAGAGATATGGCCATGGCCATCTCGTCCACCCCAGGGACGATCATGACCCCAACTCCTTCCATTCACAGTTCGACTTCGGACAGAGTAGTGGTGGAGGTCATACTTCGGGCTCTACACAGGCAGAGGATTACTTCATCCATAACACCGCTCCCGGCCACAGCCAGGATGACTCATCGTCTTGCCAGCTGACTCCTCCACCGTCCCGAGACCCATTCACCACCATTCAGCATTACACGAGGCGTCCGAGGCGTGTTCGTAGACGAACGGAGGACACACAGGATGGAGATCAGTTAACTCCAATACATGAGTCCGGATAGTATTAGTTAGTTGATCCTTTTGTGGTACTCAGATATTTAACAATGTTGTATATAACGCTTACATTATTAATACAAGAAATGTTTTCTAAATGACTCTCTGTACAATTTGAAGTTTATTTCCCTTATTTGTCCGAATTTGACTTTTGTTAGTGAAACTATATCTTTTATATCCGTTATATGTATCAAGCAGCATATATTTGGTCTCCTGCACTTAAAGTGCTGTTTTACGATGGTTATCATGCTGTTGGGGTTGTTTCCAGTGTTTGATGGTTGTCAGTGGTGGTCGATGGTGGTGGAAAGGTTGGAGCTGGTGGTGGGAATGCTCTTGCGTTGTTTAGGGTGTTTTATGGTAGTTTATGGGTGGTTGAGAGTGGCGGCCGGTGGTGGTGGGGGAGGTGGTTGATGGTGGTGGGGGTGGTGGTTAATGATGGGGGTGGTGGGAATGTCCTTGCGTTGTTTATGGTGTTTTGCATTGCATAGGGGTGGTCGAGAGTGGCGGGCGGTGGTGGTGGGGGAGGTGGTAGATGGTGGTGGGGGTGGTGGTTAATGATGGGGGTGGTGGGAATGTCCTTGCGTTGTTTAGGGTGTTTTGCATTGCATAGGGGTGGTCGAGAGTGGCGGTCGGTGGTGGTGGGGGAGGTGGTTGATGGTGGTGGGGGTGGTGGTTAATGATGGGGGTGGTGGGAATGTCCTTGCGTTGTTTAGGGTGTTTTGCATTGCATAGGGGTGGTTGAGAGTGGCGGCCGGTGGTGGTGGGGGAGGTGGTTGATGGTGGTGGATGGTGGTGGGGGTGGTGGTTGATGGTGGGGCTGAGCTGATGCTGCTGGGTGAGGGTGATGTGTAGGGGCAGCAGCAGATTGCAGAAACTGCTGGTGATGCTGGTAATGCAGTCTAGCAGAAAAACGCTGCGTGAGGCAGCGTTTTATGCTTTAACATAAAACGCTGCTTCAGGCTGCGTTTTATGCTTCAAATAAAACGTTGCCTCAGACTGCGTTTTATGCTTCAACATAAAACGCTGCCTCAGGCAGCGTTTTAAAGCCCATATACATATTCCAGTATAATTTGGCAAAATATACTAGTATATTTTGCCAAAATACATACTTGAAATTTTTTTTTAAAAAAACTGGGTGTAAAACGCTGTCCGAGACAGCGTTTCACCCCAGAAGCTTAGTTTGGGAAATACTTTTCCCACGAGACCAATTTGGTAAATAATTTACCAATAAAGCTCATTTTGGGAAAAAATCCGAAATCAGCAATCTTACATAAACCGAACAATGTAATTACAACTTCATATCAAAATGAAAATTATGACGAAAAACCAAAATTAAGAGCATGAAATTCGAAATTTACTAACCAAAACTATATATGAGTGAACAAGAGGAGGGAAAAAGTAGCGATCCTAAATAAATCGAAATTACAAATTTTCTTCGCTTTTGTTCATCTAAGGTATGTAAATTTCGATTTATTTGTATGTTGAATTTGCTCGATTCATTTGTAGTTTGCTCGATTTGGTTTTGATTAATTCGAGTTTGAATTAGGGTTTTTTGCTATTTTTTGTTTGATTAATTTGTGTTTCATTTCTTAATCAGATTAAATAGTTGAAAATTTGGGGTTTTTTGTTTGATTCATTTGTGAATTTTGATTGTTGCATGTGCTTTAATTTTAATTGCGTTTTTTTTTTTACTGGATTAGCCATTTTTCTTTTTTGGTTTTGTCTTCAGCGAAATTTGGGTTTTTTTTTTTTTTTTTTTTTTTTTTTTTGCTATTTTTTTTATTCTTTCTAAATATGGATCAGGGAGTTAGGGGAATGTTTAGCGATGGTGGAGAGGTCAACATCAAAATAGTAGGGTCAAAAACTTGTGAATCTTTTCTACTTGGAGGATGCTACTCTGTATTAGATTCTTGTATGCTACATTGTTTGTTTGAGTTGAGAAATTTGATTATTTGATTAACTAGTTGGTTTACTTTTATGAATTTGGTCATTTTAGATCATATTAAATCTGGTGAATGTAATGATTCATATTGAAGTAAAATTCAATTCCACATATGCAATGCTACCAGAAAGTGACTTGCTATCAGTTTCTTGATACCTTTAGTCCTTCATGGTCTCATATTGTATGACCAAGTGAGAAACCAATGTGAGGCCCTTGTGACTGGTAAGCAACAGAAGATGTCAGTGCTCCAAAGTTTCAAGTAGCAACAGGAAACCAAAGCTATTGTTCTTGCTTAGGGCCACCACCCTCATTCCGTCTTAAATTATTTTGCTCATCGTTTGTTTGATTTTCTTCTTATTTTGCTTAGGTTTCTGAATTCAACATCTTCTTCCAATTTGAGGGATTGGACTCGATAATATAATATGAACTTATGTTTTTTATATTGTTGAGTGTGAATATTTTTATCTTGTGTAAGTTAATAGTTATTAATACCTAGTAGTTCTTTGGGTGGATGATTTGTGATTATGTTTAGTGTTCTTTGTTTTTCGAGTATGTCGAATTTGGCTAATCTACGTTGTACGTTATTCTTGTCATGTAAGATTAGCTTTGTTGATTTTAATTGATTGAGCAGAGGTTTGGTGCTGTATTGCTAGCTATTGTAGTGTGGGTGAGGAGGGAGTTGGCCAAGTAGTATGTTGCAGGGTGGTCAAGGAAATAGAAAGTAATATTTTACTTACTTTTTGAGATTTTTTACTTACTTTTGAGTTATTTAGCTTTACTTTGACATTACCACATAAATTTCAAGTTTAGCTCTAAAAAAATAGTATAAATATTAGTTGACCCTAGCCCTGCATTGTTCAGATCAATCGATTTTGCTCAATGATATTTGGAGTGGTAGTTGCTACACTTTGACTGGGATTTGAGCATATACTCTATTTATTTATTTTATTTATTGCTTATGATATACTTTGGTTACTCTTGAACTGATGTATAATTTATCTTACTAGCTTTAATGCTTATGTTACCTTTAATGCTTCTCTTATTTACTTTTGAGTATATCTTATTTACTTTTATATTTGTTTTCTTTACTTCAAAATATATTATGTATGAAGGTGAGTGGAGGGGAGTAAATTTGATGTTGTATATGGTGGTGTGCTGTGTATGAGGGTTGATTCTTTTTATTTTGTATGCTTATTTTTCATATTACCGGGCCGGGCTTAAATCTTTTCATCCTGTGTAAGTTGATATGTTATTTGGGATATAGTTTCTTTGGTTGAGATTTGAGATTTTTTTTATTTACTATTGAGCTATTTTTCTTTACTTTGAATTTTTAATGTACACTAGCCTACTAGCTCAAAGGTAGAGCATTGTGCAAATGCACAAATGATGTGGGTTCGAATCCCTCGTAGGTTTGTTCATTAGAGAAAATTATTTTTATTTACCTAACTTTTGAGATTATTTTTTTATTTACTTTTAGAATATTTCGATTTACTTTTTAGTATTTTGTATCTACTTTTGAGATATATGAGGATGACTTCAAAGTATGATGTAAGCGGTCATGTGTAACAAGTTTCTCTTACTCTTTCTTACTATGAAATGCTATGTAATGGTACTTTGGAAGAGCTTGCTATACACTGGTTTTGAATTTTGATTTTTTTTTTTAAGCTAATTTGATTTACTTTATAATTATTTTGATTTACTTTTGAGAAATTTTCAATTACTTTAGTGTGTTTCTATACATTAGTACACATTAGAGTTGATTTGATTTATTTTGGTTGGGAGTTCTATCAAACACCTTGCGAGTATATGATTTGTACTCCATTGGAGATTCACAAAGTTGCTGGCAGTCAGAACCGAATCAAGCTCAGTGTGCTCAAAGAGAGCTTTGTTTCTACACAGCCAGATGGCCCACGCCATTGCTAGCAAATGCCCCAAATCATCCTTGTCAATTTTACTACAAGCCACAAGAATTTTACCTAGAAAGAGGTAGATGCTGCGTCATGTAGAAGCTGAACAAATTTGCCGCAGGACCATACCTTTCTTGCAATATGGCAGTCAAAGAGTACGTGGTTAACAGACTCAACCTCTACCCCACAGCCACCACAAACATCATCAGGAGCAACATATGGCGATAAAACAACAACTCTTTCACGGCAAGGCTACCTCTGCAGGCTTTCCACACAAAATGATTTTGTTTCGGTTGTCTGTTCTTGCACCAAATAGTCGCCTATAGATCCCTGACATCTTCTTGCACCCTATTCCCTGCAGCATTAAGGACACCAAGTCTCCCCAGTCAAATAACTATATATAGTTTATATATACATATGATGAAACAGGGCTTTCAAAGCCAAATAATTTTTCATATACAATAGAGCTTATTTGATTTACTTTTTAGTCATTTTGATTTACTTTGAGGTATCTTAATAACTTTATAGTGTTATACTTTTGATCTCTTGGATTTACTTTTGAGATATTTCGATTTACTTTTGAGTTTTTTTTAGTTACATTTAGAGACAACCTATGTAGGAATCGAACCTACACCCTCTATGCATTTGCATAGTGCTCTACCATTTGAGCTAATAGGCTCTAAGGGCAACAATTCACGGTTTATTCAACTAACAATGACCACATTTCACTTGGAATACAGGAGAAAGAAAGACCAATTCTTATAATATCATTGTAGAGGATGAAAATTTGGAAAGTGCCTGCAACCTTCCCAATTTCTGCATAACCATAGCAATTACATTGCATTCTAGCACTATTGTTTGCCAGCCACATTTGGAAGCTACTATGAGCCAATAACGTGGAGCCGCAACCATCACTACTCCCCACTTCTTGACCTCACCTGAGTTCTTGCTAGTGATTGGCTGGTGTATAATAGCCATATCAGTTAATTGCTACAAGTTTACACTTTACACTCTCCTCTCCTCAATCTTGCTGTGCGCTTATCCTACATCCTAGCCCTAACAAAACCTACACCATACCATAATACCAGCACACAGCAACCCACAAGCATTTGTCTTCCCCCCTTCTCTATTATTTCCTCCAAGTCAGGGCTACTATAGCACTCACCAAGCATATTAGAATAATCAAGCCATTACCATATAATGTAGGAAACGTCAAATATTATTAATGTTTTTGAGATTTTATCAAGACACAAAGAAGAACAAATTAGTAAAATGAATAAAGATTTACCAGCTGGTGAAACTGATGCTTCTTTGAGTAGTGAATTATTATTGAGAAACACAAATTGTTTTCACTAACTGACAGCTTGGCAGTCCTTCTATATGCCCTCAAAACAACATGATTCTTCTTATATATGCCCCTTCCATCTAGAAAATATAATTTAGCATAGAATTATTTGATCAAAACAACAGATTAAGAGTGAGTTGGGGAACAAAGAATTATTTTAACTGATTTGTAGCTCAAATGTGTCAAATTTCACACTATTCAAAATCCTTCACTCAGATAATTCTATTTCTAAATTATTTGAAGTATGCTACATTGTAGCATTTTGTCAAACATTTGGTGAGCATCAAAATATCTATTATACTTTTAGAGAAATATAGTTTACTTTTGCACAATTTTAGATTACTTTAACACATTTTAATCAAATTGAATTGCAATTTGATTTAAAATTGAAGAAAAACAAGAAATATTAAAATTGAAATTAAATTTGGCTATTTAAGAAAAGACATAAAACGTCTTACCTCAGAAGCTGCTTCAATGGAGTATCAAAAGCTCGAAATTCCCTTTAATGGAGAATAAAAATCATTAGCTTCGATGAAGCAAATCAAATTGTTAACGAAATTACAAATGAATGCTCCAAATTAATAGGATATACCAAATTAAACCCTAAAATCCGAATAATACCAAATTTACAATAATTACCTCTATAGTTGAGAAATTGTGCAATTAGTTCAGCAAATTATCGAAGAATTGTTTAAATTGTAGCAAAATTCATGACTTTTGAGCTGATGATTGAGGTGAGAAAGCTTGAAAAACGCTAGAGGAGAGAGAAAATGTTGTCAGCGAGAAGAGGAGAGAGAGACACAAGTTTTTTTTTTTGGCTAATTTTCTGATTTAATCATAACACAATCGCAGCCATCCACTTTGTTTTAATCTGACGGTTGAAATGAGTTCCTAGTTCATATTATAGGAGAGATTCCCATTATAACCTGGTCCGATATATACATATATATATATGAGATGGAGGTGGATTTAATTTGCAGAAATTGAAGAATTTGATGAAGTTTCTGTGTTTAACTTTTTTTTTCTTTTTTAATTTTGTTAATTTTGACCAATAGGGTGGTGATATGTGAATCCTTCGTCGAAAAACAAGTCGGAATTAAAGAAGGGGTGGTGATATCTACTGGTTTAGCGTTTTGGGGTGGTATTTTTAATTTCATAAAAAAAAAAAAAAAAGTGGTTAATTAGAAAGCTGGTGTATTTTGGATTTTGAGGGTGGTTTTTTTCTTACAAAATTTCTTTTTTAATAATACTGACTTAAAATGTCACACAAACCTAGCTTGTCACGTAAAATTAAGTGTAATTTAGAGGTGTTAATTTGAACGTTTGGGTCGAGTTTGGCGAGGCTAGGTCAGGTTGAGTCTAATTTCAAAGTTGAATCATGCTAAATTATTGTGTTTATTCGAGTTGAAATCTGAATCAGATATTTTCTAATCTGTTTCAAATCGAATTGGTTGGAAACATAAATTTAATTTACTTGGAACCGGTTGAGTAGGTAAACTTTCATTAGTATCAATTTGGTTACAGAAAAATTGCCCAGAATAATCCCATCTTAATAGTCCCATTTTACTTGGAACCGGTTGAATAGGTAAACTTTTTTTTAAAAAAAAATAAAAATAAATATACACGTATCACCACGTGATTGGTCAAAAAATAAGTTTTAATTTTAATTTTGTTATGATTATTAGTAATTAGCTATTAATTAACTATTTTTAACTTTTTTCTAAAAAAAAAATTAAAACCATACCAGCTCCACCACCACCCCAGCCACCTCCCCGCCCAAACCGTCGGCCCAGACAAAGCCCATAGCCGGCAGCCCATCGCGACCAGAACCTAGATCCACACCGTCATTCGCTGACCCTCCCCTACCCTTTTCCGTCGCCATTAAACCACCACAACAATTACCGATCGAAATCAAGGTGTGGAAATGGAGGCCGAAATCGAGGCGTGAGAAGGGGAGGGGGGCCGAATTCGGGGTGAGGGGAAGGGGATAGGGCCGGAAAAGGGACAAGGGAGGCAGAAGAGCCGGAAACGCGACAAGGAAGGGGAGGGAGGTCGGGATCGGGAAAGATTTTTGAATCAAATTGGTGGTTCAAGGGGAAGAAAGTTGACTGTTTAAGGGGAAGGGGGATGGCGGTCGGCGCGGCCTCCGGCGCCGGGGGCAGGCAGGAGTTCGGGCTGGTGGGAGTGGGCGGCCATGGAGTCATGCGGCGGGAAGGTGGCTTAGGCACCCGCTGGGGTGGTTTTGAAATATTTAATTGTTTTTTTCTATTTTTTTCTTTAAAAAAATTTAATTTTTCTTAATTTTTTTGAACCAATCACACGCCACTACGTGTCAGGTAAATTGCTATTACAAGTTAACTGACCGATTGAGACCTTTAAAGAAGATTGGCATTAAGGGTGGGATTATTTTTATGGATGCCCCAAAGGAGGGATTAATCCGAACAATTTTTCCTTTGGTTAATTAACCATCCTACTGTCCTACGCATGAAGACCACTTCCATTTATTTTTTTTTTTTGGTTGAAACAAACCACTATCAAAGAAAAATATGGAAAACATGAATTCCTTTAGGAAAAATTGTCCGGAATAATCCCACCTTTGGGGCGTCCGCTAAAAATAATCTCACCTTTGGATTATGTTTAATAATCCAACCTTTATATCTAATCCGCTCAAAATGGTCCCAAGTGACCGGTAACCGGTTGAGTAGTTTTTTTTTATTTTTTTTTATTTTATTTTTTATTTTATTTTATTTTTTTAATTAAATTAAGTTTAATTTACACGTGTTACTACGTGATTGGTCAATAAAAAAGTTATAATTTTAATTTTTTTTAGAATTGATTATTACTAATTAACATTAATTAATTATTTTAAAACTAACTTTTTAAAAAATGATAAAAAAAATTTAAACAACCACCACCAGCCCCAGCTACCTCTACGCCACCACCATCGGCCGAGACCAAAACCTTCACCGCTCCCAAACCCGCGCCGGTCGCGCGCTCCTCCCCCTACCCCCGTCCGTCGTCTTTAAACCACCACACCCATTCTCGTAACAATGGTGATGGTCGAAATTGATGGTGAAGGCCGAAATTGATGCATTGGAAGGGGAGGGGGGCCGGAAATGGGATGAGGGAAGGGGAGAGGGTCGAAATCAGGGCGAGGGTAAGGGGAGGAGGTCGGGAAATGCGACAGGGGAGGGGATTGGGTCGAAATCCGGTTGAGGGGAAGGGGAGGGGGCCGGAAAAGGGACATGGGAAGGGGAGGAGGTCGGAAAACGTGGTGGGGGAAGGGGAGCCGGTACTTTTTCGAATCCCTGATTGTTGAGTTTCCGTGGGGTAGGGAGGAAGGTTGGTTGTTCAGGGAAGGGGGATCCGGAGCGGCCAGAGCCACTTGATTGGTCGCTGGGGTTGGGTTTTGGTGGCCGGAGCCGCAAAGTAGGGGACTCCGGCTGTGGCTTGGGTGGTTTTTAAAATATTTATAATTTATCTTTATTTTTTCTTTACAAAAATTTAATTTTTTGTTAAAATTAATTTTTTTTTTTTTTTTTACCAATCACAGGCCGCCACGTGTCAAGTAACTTGTTATAAGAAGTTACATGACCGGTTGGGACCATTTTGAGTGGATTTGGGTATAAAGGTCGGATTATTTAAAATAACCCAAAGGTGGGATTATTTTTAGCGGACGCCCCAAAAGTAGGATTATTTCGGACTATTTTTCCATTCCTTTATCACACTGCTTGCACTATTGGTTACCTATAGGCTTAAGCCTAAAACTTTATAACTTCTCTAGACAAGGGTGAAAGATCTCATACGAGGGACTTTTTACCAAATTGAGCTTTTTTGGCAAAGTATTTACCAAATTGGTCTCATGGCAAAAGTATTTCCCAAACTAAGCTTTTGGGGTAAAACGCTGTCTCGGACAGCGTTTTATACCTAGTTTATTTAAAAAAAAAAATTCAAGAAGACAACGTTTTATGTTTAGTTGACTTTTTTGTATGTATTTTGGTAAAATATATTGGTATACACGTATTTTGTGTATAAAAAGTAAAACGCTGCCTGAGACAACGTTTTACTTAAAGCATTAAATGCTGCCTCAGGCAGTGTTTTTCTGCTGGACTGCATCACCAGCAGCCAGCTGCTATTTCTATCCATCTGCTACTGCCCCTACATATCAGCCTTACCCACCAGCCTCAGCCTCAGCCAGCACCATCAACCACCACCCCCACCACCACCGGCCGCCTCTCTCGACCACCCCTATGCAATGCAAAACACCCCGAACAATGCAAGAGCATTCCCACCACCAGCCCCAACTTTTCCACCACCAACAACCATCAAACACTGGAAACAACCCCAACAGTACTACAACCCCCGTGAAATAGCACTTTAAGTGCAGCAGGCGAAATATATGTTGTTTGATATATATAACGGCGAAGAAAGATCTAGTTTTACCGACAAAAGTTGTAACACCCTAGAAATTCCTTCCATTTTAAAATACCTGTTTTGCCCTTTTCAAAATACGAAGAAGGAAAATTTAAGACATTACCGCCACCGTGATAACGGCTAAGGCAATTATCAAAGACACACAGCGGAAGACTACCATTAAAACTATTTAAAATCAAGTCAACTTTAAAAGTCAAACCAAACGAAAGTAAAAGTCAAATGAAGTCAATCTACAACTTGGAACCATTGTAGGCCCTTAAACCAAAACACTTGAAAACCTCTTTGCGTTAGTCTCACAGTCAACATAATTAAATAATAAATCAAAGCAATAAATACATCATATTCTAACGAGAACTAAGCATGATTCACTCTTCACTCATGCCCCTTCATGATTATGCTTCATCACCTGAAAAGCTTCTCTCTACTTGTCCCCACTACTCTCCATTAGAAATGGGTCGTCGTAGGGCCAAGGTAAAGACAAGGCCAGACAAACACACAATACACACAATCAGCAAAGTTGAGTACATAAGCGTAATTAACACACACTAACATGCTTTCATCCTATCAACATACAACTTACCTCGATGCACCTGTTTACAAGCACACAACAATCATCACTTGACTCGACTACTAATTGATATTTATTTAATTTTGATTACACATCGAACGGGTTTCCAACCAACTACCTGCCTCAAATAAATTGAGGTAAACTACACCGGGAGCTAACCGGGTAGGCAAATGCCACATGAAGTGACTGGATCCTGCGCATAATAAATAATAAAATGGAAAGTACAGCGTCCTGTACCCCCAGTAGGAGTTATAGTAAAATATAAAGTCGCATAATCCCCCCATATGCTCATACTCAAGGTATATACGTTCCAAGAGTTTTGGTGTGTAATCTCTTTCACTTTACGTGATTTACAAATTATTAGACTTGGTGATGACTCTCAAACACAACACAACCAAACATTTCAATTCACTCAAGCAATCAAACAACCAATTTAATTCTTGAATATTTAGTGACCATATAAATTTAGTGTGGAATCCTTTTTAAACTACCTCGGTGTTAAATAACACCTTAAGTGCATAAGGCACCGCAAATCCTATCCCTCGGTGTTAGAAACACCTTAAGTGCACATAGGCACCGCAATATAATTATCCATGTGTACTAAGACACTTTAATAGCTCTTTCCTCATGCTTATAGCATCAATAAAAATTATATGAACTATGATAAAATTCCTCTTCCATAATCCAAACCAAGATAAACATCCAGTTTAACCAAACATGCCTTCTAACATGCCAATAATAAAAGTATGGTTCAATATCAGCATGCCAATATAATTAATTCCAATCACCAAATCACCATAAATAATTCATCATCACAAATCATTCACCAACATTAATCCAATCAACAAATTTCATCCAACACCTATCATGATACTACTTGGAATTAATTTAACAAAGCCTAGCATGCTTTTATACACTTAAACTTTACCAAGTACGCGAACGTACCTCGAATACGATCTCAAAATAGCCACGATTACACAAAGTCACTCACTTGGAAGTCTCCTACAAACCACAATTATAAAGGAGTATTATACCCTTCTAACACAAAATTCCAGCAATATATACTCTCTTTAAATCACTCAAAAACCCCTTTAAAATAATCTGAATTTTTATTTAAAACCCTTACTTTGTTCCCAATTAAATGGGTAATTAAAGATCTTTTCAAGAGACTTAAATTAGACTTATATATAAAAATTCCAGCAATATTAAAACTTTTAAAATTGCTGTAATTTTGTTTAAAAACATTAATTTTAATAATTTCAATCAACCACAATCAAATTCCATCCATAAACATTAATTTAAAAACCTAGGGTTTCCAATCTTGGGGCTTTTTAATTAAAAACCAAAATCTAAAAATTATAATTAAAATACTTGTTATTAAACATCCTAAGAATCATCACAAAACCCAAAAACAACAATTGGATTTAGGGTAGATTTAATTAAAATAAGAAAAACAACATATATCTTTCGTTAAAAATCAAAAACTGCCCGAAAACTATATTTAGAGGCTGAATTTGGTCACGAAAGGGTGGTGCTAATGGTAGTGAGTTTTGTTTAGAATATTGTTTACACACGAAAAAATACTATTTTTTTGTAAAAATCGGACGAGTTAGAATTTAATCGTGATTACATCGAGATTAAGAAAATTACGAACGGAGAATACACAATATGCAACCACCTGGCCGCCGCTGCCACGCTTCCTGGTGGCTGCTGCCACCGGAAAAGGTTGGTGGTGGTGGCCGGCGTGTGTGGTGGTGGTGGTGTAAACAATAAATTAATAAATTAATAAATAAAAGGGGAAGGGAAAAATTAAGGAAAAATAAAATAAGAGGGGAGAAAGAGAACGTGCCTTTGGGTGAATTTTCACCCTAGGCACATGAGGAGTATTTATACTCCCTCTTAGCCTTCCTACTTACTTCCCTTAATAATCCCTTTCCTAATCGGATTAGGATTTGACTTTCTTTAAAACTTGTCTTTTTAAATTATTTAATATAAAATAATGTGCCCCAATATTTTAAATCATAAAATCTAATATTTTCAAGATTATTAAATAATAAAATATATTTTTAATTAAAATCATTCTTTTTGTATTGAAGAAACCTTAAATATTTTATTTCATATTGTTTAAATACATCAAGAAATACTTATTTAAATTTAAAATACGTATAAAAATACGGGGTATTACAAAAGTCAAATTCGGACAAATAAACTTCAAATTGTACAGAGAGTCATTTAAAAAACATTTCTTGTATTAATAATGTAAGCATTATATATAACATTGTTAAATATCTGAGTACCATAAAAAGATCAACTAACTAATACTATCCGGACTCATGTATTGGAGGTAACTGATCTCCATTCTGTGTGTCCTCCATCCGTCTACGAAGACGCCTTGTGTAATGCCGAATGGTGGTGAAGAGGTCTCGGGACGGTGGAGTCAGCTGGCTAGACGATGAGTCATCCTGGGTATGGCCGGGAGCGGTATTATGGATGAAGTAATTCATTAAAAAACCGTAAATAATACTGGATAATACATCAAAACAAGATAAATCAGTACACGAAATGGCACGTGAAACATTACCGACTGCTCCCATATGTCAACGCTCCGATGTCTATCTTGCAGTGTAAGGACAGAACGGTCAAGAGGTCCTGGTGTCCTATCGTGTCCGTCCATGATATCTGTTCATTTAAAACAATATGGCCAAACCAATTAAAAAACATAATTACTAGATTATGAAATTGACATGCCTAACACAAGTAAAAGGCAAAGTCGAAAAATTGGTAACACAAGTAAAAGGCAGCTCATAAACCAAGACCAGCTGGAAATGTTTTCCCCCTTCAACCAACGCAAATGCTAGTAGAAATACTTGGAAGTTTGCATCCACACTTGTAGCAACCAAAAGTGTTCCTTTATACTTCCCGTACAAGTGCGTCCCATCGATATAGATAACAGGCATACAATGTTTGAAACCATCGATACAAGGACCAAATGCCCAAAACACTCGTTCAAACACTTCCATGTTGCTGGTATACCTACCCTCCACTAGAGCTTTGTGTTTCCAGATGACTGCGGTTCCCTGATTTGACTGTTGTAGTGCTCGCATGAACTGAGGAAGTCTGCTGTAAGAACTCCCCCAATCCCCAAATATTTGAGTGATGGCTTTGTCCTTGGAATACCATGCTCTTTTATACGGAACTTCAAAATGGAATTGCTTGGAGATGAGTTCTTGTATGAATTCAACTTTTAGAGTCGGATCTTTCTGCACAAAGGACTTCACATACTCAGATATTATGGACGAATCCAAGTGTGGGTGATCAGTAGATAGTACTTCGGTAACACAGTTCTCCCGGTGCGGGCCTTTATATGTGACTATGGTGAAGCCACGCGAGTGCTCACTTGTCCTGGTACCCCTTAGAGACCAACCACATTTCTTCTTGCAATGCAGATGAAGGACACTCTCATTTGAGGTCACTGCGGTGTAGAATTGATTTCTCTATATAGAATACATCTTCACCATTTCTTGAAGCGTTTTCTTACTATCAAAGTACATCCCCTTCTCGAATTCTCCCCCTGGAACAAATGATGTATGGCTACCCGAATCGGCCCAATAGTCATCAACTTCATAATTCTCATTTATCTGACTAAACCAGGGTACTATAGTTCTAACCAAGGGCTCATCAATTTCCATCTGCCCAGCTTTAAGATCCATGTCATCAAGTCCATCATCCTCCTCCCCATTATCGTCCTCATCATCTGTATCCGCATACACATCGTACACCGACAATTCGTTATTCACAATATTATCAAAATGAGTTGGCTCTTCTTGAGACGGTGATGCTTGCACCTCATCTCGCATCGGTGATGGAGCCACGGTGTGTGATGTCGAAAGACCGGATTGGCCAAACATTGTCACACAACCCCCCCCCCCCATGAACCGGTGAAACTATATGAGAACTAAACGGCATCTGATCGTCATGCAACAAGCGACTTAAAGTTCCCATCCCATATTCATTCGATGGAATGTGGTTTGAGGGACCTTGGAAGGACGCGGTGTTGTAATCGGATACATATGTAGGATGCTGTTCTGCCCAAGTACTTTGTTGGGTACATACAGGCACCGTTTCTACATATATCTCATTGGGAACACCCTTCATTGCAACAATGCTTCTCAAAGCTTTTAAATGTTTGTTTGTAGAGACAGGTAACACTTGAACCCCATGGCCAGTCTCACACCTCATTTTAAGGTTCAGTTCAACATTCATTGGATTTGAGCCGATACTACTGTGAACCTCATTCATCAGATCAATCACAGTCATGTTCGGTTCAAGTGTTATAAGTTCCATATTCCCTCCACTGTACTCAACATTTGATCCATCGCACATAATTTCACCTCCCCACCGGCATAACAACACTACATTTTGTGTACCCATATTCTACATAACAACCAAAACACATTTAAGGATAATCGAATTCTAAAACAATGTAAAAAAACCCTAATTTAACAATACATAACATACATAGCTTTGATAATGGAAAGGTATATCAAATTTCAAGAACCTACATGTCTACCTAATATGACAACAATGAAACAAGCCATTCTCACCATCAACATTTTCATCACCAATTTCATTAACTCTTAGTACCGCATACAATTATCAACATACTAGTACCGCATTACCATCAACCATTTCATCATTATTTTCACAATAATAAACCACATTACCATCAACAATTTCATCAAGAATTTCATCAAAAATAAACCACATTATTTTCGTCAATAATGTATCACATTAAATTAGCATCGACAATTTCATCAACAATTTCGTCTACATTTTTCCTCAACAATGTACCACATTATCATCAATAATTATCAATAATTTATCACATTTTCATTACTAATTAGCAACAAATTAATACAATTTACATCACAATTTGCTACAACATACAACAACTATCAACTATTCAATGTAAAATTCAACATTATACTACGAATTTAGGGTTTACCCGGATTTAGAGAGTGAGTGAGACAATGCCGGCAACAGCTTTCGTTCACTTCGGCAGCGGCAGGGGCGGCAGAGGCTACGGTGGCAGGGGCGGTGGTTCGGTGTTTGTGAGAATGAGAGTTAGTGAGAGAGAGAGTGTAAATTGCGTTTGTGAGATTGAGAAAAACGCAGCTGCAATTCGATATAAGTCCCGCAAGAAACGCTGCCGTTTATTGTACAGAGGAAAACGCTGCCTCAGGCTGCGTTTTATGCTGTATTGGGGGGTTTTTTTTTTTATAAAATATGAAATACGAAGTTTGAGAAAAAAAGTCAAACACAGACAGCGTTTTACTTCTTGGATTTTTTATTTTTTTTTAAATCTGGGTATAAAACGCTGTCCGAGAAAGCGTTTTACCCCAAAAGCTTAGTTTGGGAAATACTTTTGCCACGAGACCAATTTGGTAAATAATTTGCCAACAAAGCTCAATTTGGTAAAAAGTCCTCATACGAGTCATGACAAACCCCAAAATTCCACTTAGCTATGTTTTTTTTTTTCTTCTCATAAAACATCAACAATTGGTGTATGTGAACTATAATAAAGTCAAAATGCATAAATAAACTAAACAAATGGAGTACGTAGTATGAGGAATTGACTAGTTGACAATTGTATATTTTGTATGCATTACTGTAATACTGTTGTCTGTTGATGTAAAACTTACAAAGCAACATCTACTACCTTAACAAAAAAAAAAAAACCTATATTACCACAATACAGTAAACACCTCCAAAGGTCTAAAAGGCAGTCACTAAAATTGAAATCTTTGTGTAAAAAAAAATAAAAATAAAAAAAAGAGAGAAAAAAGAAGAAATATTTGAGAAAAGAATTCTGTAAATAACTTGCATAACTTGTATTAAAATTTTCAACACTATTCTAAAATTGTCATTACCATAGATGCGTTAACATTTGCCTAATGGCCACATTGTTTAATATAAAATTGCATCTCCTATGCAACAACATACAAGGTAGTTTAAAAATAAAATTGCATCTCCTATTCTCCTATGCAACAACATACTAGGTAGCCCCAGGACATGTAATTCAATAAAGACGATAATGAACTCTGCTATCACTCTTTCGTACACACGAAAGGGAACATAAGGTAAAAAAAAAAAAAAAAAAAAAAAAAGATCATAACAGAAACTAGAGTTTCACACCCGTTGTCTGTAGTCTAAAGAAAATTCAAGCACAAAGCTTGAACAAGATCCCATAGCACAAAGCATCATTCCGAATGTGGATAATTTACACCTATCAGAGCCATTCCTTAGGTGGAAATTAACACCAATCAGAGCTGGATGACATCTATCAGTTGGATTCCGATAGACGCATGGCAAGTGACACTGATATAACTTTTTGAATGTGGACAGTGCCTCAATACTGCGAAATTGGTCACTTGCAAAATGCTTCTGTCTAGTAGAAAAAACAACTTTTTTGAGATTGTCTGCATATGTTTTAAGATTCCATGCCAGCAGCCTTCCAAAGTCAGATACAGCAAAAAAAAGGGACTCGTTGAAATCATCGCCATCCCAAGTTTGGTAAGTTGCACTGTAGTATTTGAATTCAATAGTTTCTAGCTGCTGCAAGATGTTGTCAAATTGTACTCCAGGGTTACGAACTTGACAGACTGTCACATTTTTTATGTAGTCATACTGCAGGAAAAAAAAAATTCACTAAATTGAAATAGATAGAATCAAGCGTTATTAAATTGCAGGTAAATATTAATCTAGCTTGAAAAAAGTAATAGAACTTGCATTCAAGTGTGCAGGATCCCCCATGACAATCGTGAGATTCTCAAGTTTGTAACAACCCAAAAGCATGTAGGCTATTCCCTGGAATTCCCATCTACACAGTCCGGTCTCTAGGATGAGATGACTGGCCTCAAAGGTTAGAGGTTTCCTGAAATTATAAACCTCCATTGATAGAACCTAAAAGGAAACACAAACATTCAATTCATAAGTTAAAAATTGAAGAACAGGACATATCATATGAGCCAATGTCAAATTTAAGATTACATCCTACTTCATTTTGATTTACATTCTAAAGAGCAGAAAATCAAGAGATGCTTATTCAACTTAACACAAACTGGAAGAAAAAAAAAAAAAAAAAAAAAGGAAGCCACAGAAGTAATGTATACCTGAATGCACCAGCTGCTCACTGTAAGCACTTTAGCAGTTGCTAGTTTTCTGAGAAGCCCCAAAAAATTCTTTGCATAATAGCCCTTAAGTCCTGAACTAAAGATTCTGATTGCTTGGGGTCTATGATGCATTTTATCCAGCCTAAAAATTGCTTCAGAACAGGCGAGAGTTCCATCCATCCGATAGCTTTTTCTAGGCAGGGCTGACGCAAATTCTATTGTTTTCACATTTGGAGCTCTAATACACAACTCAGTTGCATTTCGGACGTCAGTAAACTCCTCGTTTACTACTAAATGAAGAAGGCTAGAGTTTGCTGCAACATTAATATTAAGGCCAGTAGTTGGGTTGCAATTGCTAAGACTCAGCAGACCAAGAGAAGGACAATTGCTAGTAATCTTCTCCACTGAATCTTTAGTAAGCTTGACATGCTCAAGATAAAGTTCCCTTAGAGCCTTGAAATGCAGAGGAGGAAGAGTATTTAGTTGTAGCGATATAAGAATTAATTTGACCAATGACGAACAAGGGCTATATACCCAATTAGGCATATCGACCAATGGGTACCGCCTCCTCCACTTGATTCTGTTGTCATTCCTATCATTGAAATCTATATATAGCTCTTCCAAATTTTTCAAACTAGCATAGGTCATCAATGACTGTACAATGCTAGACACATGGCAGTCATACGGAAGAGAGACTTTCATACAGTGAATATTTTGCCCCTAAAGAGCATTAAGAATTCTCAACAATGATGAGAAAAGAGACTTACCACAATTCTGAACCCACTTTTGACCTAATTCAACATTCCTCTTATGCTTCCATAGGTCCTTCCAACTTTTCGATAAAAGGGAGGTATCCATTGCTACTTCCATAGGAAGCTTATCTAGAATCTCTATGAGAAGATCGTCGTGAAGCTTACCAAAGTAATCAGGCTCAGTATTATCATCCAAGACTGCTGAAGTTCTTGGGCATTTTGAATCCGGTTGAAGGACATCCATTGATAATAAGTTGCAGCTGTTTAAGGACCAAAAAGAATGCATCAGTAAAGAAAGCATGTAGACCATAAGACCAATAATGTGTGTTCTAAATGTATGATTTAATTTATGAATTAATTCACCCACAAACTCATTAGAAATTTATCTCTCTCAATCAAGGTCTCCATGATGGCAGACTTTTATTATCTGAGGACCTTGCAGATTTGTATCCTTTAAAAACATAAGCAAAGGTCTCCATGATATTGGCATAGAATTTTTATAAATGAGGACCTTGAAATTTTTTATCCTTACAAATATGCATAGCTATGTAAGGTAACCCACTGTGGTTCATCAAAAGAAATATGGAAACTCCAAGCATCTTTTCAATCAATAATATGAATGTTGTAATTTTCATCCCAATTCAATCAACATGGATAAGTAACTTCATCTCAATTTACGTAAATTGGACATAATTACTACATTAGTGCCCAACAAATGTGATAATTCTGAACAAGATGAGCTATCTACAGAATCCAGTAAAGCTTTTTCAAAATGAATAAAAAGCTTTCTAGACTATTGATTCTAGGCTTCATTTCTTCCAGAATGAATGACAACAAAGCTACACAGCTTAACAGCATAATTGTTTCTCCTTAACATTATAACAGATTTCCAAAGCAAACTAAGACCCATCCCACAAAAGGATATTTATAATTGATATCAACGGATGATTGAAAGATAAAGCCTTTTTTCCTTTTAACAGAGTTAAGTTGCACAAACACAGTTGATTTTTGTCCTTTTGCATGCCCCACCAACACCCATAGTCATCCCTACTTCATTCCCAACCCTTCCTAATCCAAAAATTCACAAAAAAGGCACAACATGAGAACCTACCTGTCAATTCGGCTAAATTGAAAAACCAAGTAGTACTTGGTCTAGTGGTAAGGATTGCATTTCACAGCCATCAGGTTGGGAGATCAATCACCATTAGGGGCAACTAGGAGGCGGGGATTTCCCCTACCCTTATTCCCCACTCCCAAGAAGCCTTGCACGCTAACCCAAGCCTGGTGGACCTGTGAGATGTTTCGTAAAGTGCCTTCTTCTTACCAACAAAAAAAAGGAAAATAAAGGAGGCTAGATTAGGGGTGGCAAAGTTCGGGTCAAATTTCGGGTTGGGCTTAAAAACTATCAGAAAAAGTGTAGAACTTAATATTATCACAAAATATAATATTTGGGTCAAATTGGGTTGTTTAAGTTCGGTTCAGATCGGGTTTCTCTCAGTACATTCGGGTCGGGTTATTAAGTCGGGTAAGGAATTGTCAGCCCTAGCCAAGGATTGAGAAGAAAGTTAGATGGAAGTACCATCAACAGATCTTCGTTCTTAATCATAAGAGCACTTGTGCTCAAGGAAGGCAACCATTAGGGTGACTGATACTGCTTAGCCAATTATTAAGGCCCTGCTCCAAGCGATCTTAATAAAAGTGATTAAGGAAAAAGAAGAATTCACCACAAATTCCAAAACAAAGCATAACAAACATAAATGCAAACAAGAAGCCAATTCCAACTATAATTTCACTGAGATCTCTAGTCTCATTGAATGTTCCACAATTATTCGGCTTCAATTTACTGTGAAATTATGCCACATTCAGTCAAACGTCTCATCACAAAATACGAGTCTACACAAGACCAGTAAATATTGTATCGATCAACATTCAAGCACATGGACAATGAACTACTATGCATCAACAAGGGTGAAAGGAGAGTGACATGACATGAAACACAGGGTTCTTAAAATCAAACAGAAATCGACACAAACAACAAATGATTTGGATATGAGGATCGTGTCTTACCTTTGCAGAATTTGACCTTCGCCTCTTGATCAACAGTAACTTCAAAAAAAAAAAAAAAAAAAAAAAGCACTTGATATCTGTACACAAATTCTTGTTTGAATTAGGAGTGCCGATCTGATTCAAAACTATGAAATGAGAGGAGAGTATGTAAAACTTTGCACATTATATAGACAGATTAATAAGAAATAACAATAATAAAATTAAAGATGCACATATAATTGGTGGCAGATCAAATATGATTTATTTCCAAAGTATGCATTAAATCAAGACCGTTGGAAAATTAACATTCCAATCCAATCTCCACAAAGGCCTTTAACACGTGTCGTCATTCAAATGTTGAATTTGAATTAAATTACAGATATTACAACATAATAAAACTGGAGGATAGTCCGGATACACCCAAATATTGAGAATAGAGTTTGCCAAGTTATTCATTAAATATCTTTTGGAATCTGAAATACATGGTAATATGGGTTTGACGAACCTTCGTAGCCTCTCTTGGATGACTAAGCTACTAAAAACCACCCTCTCCCGACAAAACAAAAGAGCCAAACTGTTAAGGCATCTATCATCTTTCTTGCCAAAAGGTTACAAATATGATTCAAGGAGTTGAGCTACTTAAGCACTTGTACAGTAATACACATATATTCCCTATCTTTGTATTACAACTATGCCAAGTCCATTCATGGCATACTGATGTTTGAGGATCCCACTGCCACAAAAGTAACATAAATAAACACTGTACAGTAAGCAGGAATCATAAAATGCAACTACTACCAGCAGCCACTTGAAGATATTCCACTCACAATCTTGTGGCAGCAGTCATGTATAAGTCCTTGGATACAGGATTATGGGATTTACAGATCTAACACCTGAAGAATCTACTGAACTTCAATAAACAAGATAGTTTATTTACGCATCCATCAATAATCATGTATGGAATGTAATTCTAAAGGCTATCTTTAATTTATGTAATTTGCTATTATAACATATGATCCATTCTGTCAACATAGAAGTAAACTTGCGTAAAATGGCCTGCAAAACGACCTACAGAAAGAATATATATGTACAAAGTCTCATTTCCTAACAATATCACTGTTTGGATTGCCCAACAACACAATTAATAGTGCAATAAAGAGTACTAGTCCATGGACATGAACAAATCCTAACATCTTGAAATTCTAGCAGATTTAGGATGTTTCAGATATGACATGACAAGATTTTTAAAAGCCATATATTTAACAAAGCATGAAAAGAATGATAATAAATTTTGACTTTGAAAAGGCCAAATTTAGCAGCTGTTTAAGGATGGAGGAAATAGTCATTAAGAGGGAATATTAATAAATTCATCCTATTCCTTGGCTTCTTCTTCGCCAACATCAAAAAGAAGGGGTCATTGATGCCTTACTAAGACAAATTTCATCATCAAAGAAAATTATAATGAAGCTTGTTAGCAGCAGGAAATATGTAATTCTCTTCCATAGCACAATTTGTTGACCTAATCAAAACCAAGTAAACATTCTGCAATAAACACTTATTAAAAAGGGCCAGTAGACCTGAGAAAGAGTGAATTCCTAATTTTTATTTTTTTTTCCCTCCTTTCACAAATTGAGCTGAGAAGGAGGGGAAGGCACACTTATGAAAGTGTTTGTGGAGTGCAGAGGGAGGCACATCACTGAAAAGCAGGATTTCTCTTGGCAAAATTTTAAGAAACAAAAAAACTTATTATAATGCGAAAGTCAAAAGAAGATATTATGGAAATAGTATAAGCTAGAAACACAAGACCTTACATTGTATCTGTCTGCACATCTACAAAAAATAAGGAAATACCTGCCTCACAAATTTTAGACGAATTCATACTCAAGTTACTCAGCACTTGCAAATGTCTGCATCTTATTTCAAATAAAAGTGCCCAATTGACAACAAATACAGCTCCAAAAATAGATAAGCATCCTAAAAAACAATTGTTACAATCTATTCTTATCTCTCGCCTGCAGCTCCAGCCCAACTACACCTCTCAGAATATTTATGGTAAAAAGCATCACACCTGCCAGTTAAAAGCTTCTACAAGATTTTGCTGCTTTCCTCTTCACATAGGAACATCAGGGTCCAATTTTTTTTGGATAGCAGTTGCTGCCTACAAATAAGTTCCATATAAGTGTCAGTAACAGGTCCAAAGTATACACCCAAAAAGTGCACTACAGTATACAGAGAAGAATTGTCATTTATCACCTCAATGTTTCCGATTTTAAACAAATACGCCATTTCCTCCTTGAGCCGAGCTTGTTCTATCATTGCTTGTGCCTAAGAATCCAACCACGAAAAGAAAAAAAATATATATATAATGAAACAAAGAAGAAGAAAAACATGAAATATTTAGCAGAAAATGCCTGCTTATTATTAGCAAGCAAAAAATGTCTGCAACTAAGACTAACCATGCCACTCTTCATGGCATCCTTCAATGCTTCCACCTCTTGTTCCTTTTGTTTCTCGCGAACTTGCATCATCTCGTGTCTGTAATAGGTACACAGAACATGTATGAAAATTTTCATGGAAGGAAATCGCAAAAAAATTATCAGAGTGATACTGATTCCAAAGACCAGAACGATGGTGGAAAGTCACTTAAGCGTCATGCCTGCTAACTTACACAGACAGCTATAAAGTTTTGGACATGCCTGAATACCATATTAACTAATAACTACCACACCCAACTGATCAAAGGGTACAAGGATGAGAGAAACAGGAATAAATATATCCACTAGAACAACAATCTGTTGAGGTAAATACAATTCACAGGCACAACATACCGACGCTGTTCTTCATCATTAAATACAGTGCGCTCCGTTTGCACGACCTTTTTAAAACCCTTCTTCATCTCTTTTTCCATTTTATTTCTGTGATATATGTCAAGGTTATAGTACCTGCAGCACAATTGTAAACTTTGGTAAGAGATGCTTCATACATAACTCACATCTATGGAAAATAGAAAAACCTTTAGGAAGAGAACAATGCACGAAGACAACACCTGGGATGTGGTAGCGGATCAACCATGGGTTCACCAAATTCAGTAATTTGAAAAATATCTATGCATATTAGAAAAGAGTTAAAAGGATAAATTTTGTCTTTCATTGGTGCTTCCAGATTTGCTTCTTATTTTTTTAAGGGAAGTAAGTAAACTCTTCCTTGGATCCTGTCTTTGTTTTATGAAAGCATCTGAGTAATTGTATTTGAATATTAAAAATATGACATTTGTCTAGTTTGGTGATGACAACTTTGCATCCTTAGCGTAATCTGACTTGAGTCCAATTCTCTTTGCTTGCTTCTCTACTAGTATGGTCGTGATTTTTTGTACATTTATCTTCTTATTAGTAGTACTAGCTTTCAGATACAACCGATCCAAATGATCTTAGAGACTAAACAGTTTCAAAAAGAACTTATATGAGTCACTCCTAGTTATAATTACATTCTAAAATTTAAATACAATTGTATTATAAAGAGTCATTAACCTAATTGTATTATAAATAATAAAAGTCTCATCCAATCATCCATATTAACCTCTTTTTGATTACTGAAATAAATATATTGTACACAGACTAATAAATGATTTTGTTAATTGTAACATTTTCAGGGAATGAATGGTTCTTATACGTTATTCTATACTCCCTTTATTATATTAAGTTGTTCCACTTTGACGTGACCCACCCAAAATGAGAAATGGGGCATTTATATAAAGACATGAATATTAAGAGAAAGGGTGGGGGGTTGTATAGTGACGGATGGACTACAAAAAAATTGTATTGTTTGCCAAAAGTAATAATCAATTTACCCAAATTTAATTATCTCAGATGGTTTAACATAGATCAAGCTTAACTAAATATCTCAAATAATATTTATGTATTTTGATTATTATAAAATTCCACTGATTCTTAATTTTATTTATTTATTGTGACATGGCATGCTTATGCATCACTCCCTATATTTTTGAAATGTTCCTTTTTAACATACAGAATATAATTAAACATATAGCACTGTCTGATCTTGTTAGATTTGCCTATTAACTAGTTTTAGATTGTATTTGTATCGTCTATGACACATGCGATCCTAATGATACCTATACAAAATATACCTTAGCTTTGTCCATAAATTATACTAAGATCCACTAATATCAGATAAACAAAACTAGTAACAAATAAACTAAGTTATTGAAGAATAGGAGGGGGCAATATAATATCCCACATCTTTAACCTAGTAGATATAAGATTTGAGTTGTCACAAGTCATAAAATAGGCTTACTATAATATTATATTATTATGTTAAGAGACTTCAGACCCAGATGCTAAAAATCCAGGATTTATCATTATGCAATTCTTCATAAGGATATTAATAAACTTATAAACATGTGGGACTGAGGGCTTTCCTGAAACTATTTTATCCTCAAACGAGTGCTTCATGGCTCCATACAAACAACTGAATATTACAAGAAAACATTAAGGAGAAAATAAAATAAAATAAAACTCACTTTTTGGAAGGAAAGGTACCAGTATTGTAGTCCTCCATGTATCTGTAAAAGAATATGCAATTAAATTTTTGTACCCCAGTTGTTAACTATCGTAGCATAATTAGAAGTATAAGTGTATAACTTACTCCTTGAACATTTTTTTCTCTTCCCAGTTCGGTAGGCTTTCAAGGTTCACCTAATAAAGAATCCAAAACGTCCAATTATTGAACCTAAGTTATAGTGTTTTAACTAAATGCCAATAAGACAAATTTACAGTACAATACTTCCATGTAGAGCACAACCTACATTGCTGTATACATGTAAACACAGTACCAAATCAATCAAAATTAATAGCTCCTGAAAGAAGTTTTGCTTGGACCATGGATGATTCTGGTATGCATAACATAGGGGAAAAAAGAGAGGGGGGTTGCTTGGACCATGGATGATTCTGGTAGACCACAGTTTGGAATTCGCTCATTACTTTGATTCAAGACTCAAAACATATTAACTGAGCGGCTGAAAATTTAAGCATACAAGGTTAACTTTAGGCTTTAGCTATCCACTGTATGGTTATATTTTACAGATTTTGCCTCTCCAACTTCCATCACTGCTAGAAACTGTATAAAACAAGAAGAATTTCACATAAAAATATCTCTCACAATTGGAACCACAAACATGCACTAAGATAGGAGGTATGACTTTAGCAACAGGACAACAATTATTTTCAAGAGGAAAGCAAAGGAATTTATCATATGCCAAGAATGTGTTATCGCAGTTCTTTTTTGTTTTACTCGCTTACTATAGATACGTAATTTCAGAAATTGTTGAAGAACGTGAGTGGGAGTAAGATAAAGTAAGAGAGAGAATGTAAAAATGTGGGTTTGTGTAAGGCTAAGGTGAATAAATAAGAAAGTATGAAAAAGTGTAATTATTGTGGGGTTGAAGGGATAAGATGGTAAAAAGGGTATGCCATTAATAGAATAAAACAAAGTGAGTAGAACATAAAAGAATGGCCTAAAATGGAAAGTGAGTTCAACTAAAAAGAACAGAGGGGGTATTACAACAAAGCACTCTTTTAGAAATCTTCAAGCTAGACTAGACTCAACAAAGGCAAAGATTCACAAATCAGAGGCAACATATTGGGTGATCTAATCATCAAGAAGAAAAGAGCACAACTCAAATAGTCAAAAAAGAGAAATCGGCTTCTAGCCTTTATTACTTTAATTCCTATTTTAAATCCCAAAAAGAAAAGTTTTAAATGCAGACAAATGCTCCATTGCCAAAATTAGCATCTCGGCTGAAAATGATACAATTACCTGCTTTACTTCAGCAAGCCATGCTGTGAATTCTGGTCGTTTATTCCTACAGACAGCAAATAATTGAATGACTCATATGTCATATTACAAACTGGAAACAGAATTTTAAGTAAAGAAGCTTGAAAATGAGAGAATATCTTAGTATAACTGACAATTACAAAAAGAAAACTTAAAAAAAATTATAAATTATTAAATAAAAAAAATTAAAAAAAAAAAAAAAAAAAAAAAGATGAAAGATAGATTTCATGCAGAGTATTACACTTGGCTGGTTTGGCCGATTTACCACTGATTTTTTACGGTGACACAGTTTCTAGTACTCTCTACTTCCAGAAGTTGCGAAGCAATGGTACATCATTTACATTAGGCTACCAGTATTAACACAAATATTAATTAAGGTGTTAAGCTCGACCAGCTATGATAACATTGCATATTTTTGGGCCATTTTGGCTCAATATGAAGTGTCATGCGCTCATGCATACACATCCTTTTTGAATTATCAGGTATTTGCCATAGGTACCTAAGGTGAAACAAAGTATTGAGTTACACAAAAGCATTGTTACTCCCAAGCTTCATAATAAAATAATTGGGAAGGTGGGAGCAACATAAGAACATTATGAATTACAGGAAACAACTAACACTTTGGTACCTATTTATAAGAGCAAGAGAGATACCCGGGAAAGTTAAAAATTTTGAGGGAAAAAACTTATGAGTCATGCCAGAGAGAGTGATAGAAGGTAGATTGCGGAAATGAAATAGCATCTTGGAAAACCATTTTAGGTTTATGCTGCGACAATCTACAATAGAATTTATTCATCTAATGAGACAAATAATGGAGTATATAGGGCCAAAAAGAGGATTTTGAATTTTATTGGTTTCTAGCAGAACTATGACAATGTTTGTGTGCAACAAGGGCCATATGTATGTATACTTGGGGTTGGCCGAATCTATTCCTATCTATTTCAATATTTTTTCTTTTGTAGCCAAGGAAATCTTTCTTTTTATCATTTCCCTGTGAATTGATAAACTAGGTAGGTATGTAAAATAAATTCTTTGCTTTCTATCATTTTAACGTATATAAACAAAAATATTGTGACATTTCATTTCTTACCAAATGGATGGCTTTTTATATATTGCACTGGATGATTCCAGCATTTATAGTAGAAAAGAAGAAAAAGAAAACTTCGAAATATCTTTATTCCCAGAATAAGTTGGGCTATTTATAGCATGCTTCTTTAAAGTGCAAGTGAAATTTATTCTTTGTTTTCTCCTTTCCATTCACTTGGATGAGTCGGATCTTTCCTATTTCATCAATTTTGATTTTGTCCTAATCCTCTTTTTCTTTTGTAAAATGGAAGGAGAAGAATCTTCTTCACTGAATCCCTCTTCTTCCAGTTTAGTCTCCGTCTCCTTTATTTCAGAAGATTTTTTATTTCTACATTTGTTTCTTCCTCACTTTCTTTCATTGCTGGAGTTTCGTTCAGTTTCTTAGTAAAAATAGGTGGCAGCATTCTGCCTAAATAGTAGACTGACTAGACATAGGTAATAAAGAAGTGTACACAAAAGATACGAGCCATAGAATTTCTCAAATTTGACACAAGGTATTTATTAGCTCTAATCGAATGATTTTGTTGTATCCAAAGTAATACCAATCCAACACATTTCATGAATATAATGTAGCCAATTAACCAACCAACAAAACTACTTGTTAAAAATAGCACCTTGTTGTTGCATCAAAACATATAAACATTGACTACTCGGGCTAACATTGAACTTGGTAAAATGATATAGTTGAATAATTGTAAGTATCTCATACCAATTTCACAAAGTAGAGATTTTGTTTAGAAAGTAACTAATAGAACTAAGTGTAGATAGCTCAAGAGCATAAAAGTGACCGTTTAATTATGCGATCATAGCATTTACGAAACAGCTATAAGACAAGCATTATTGTGTGGGTCAAAATATTCTATATGGGTCCAAATGTTGAGCATACAAGGAGAATATTAAAAATATGTAGCAGAAATGGATGTGTGGGAGTTACCTAGAGCAATAAAATTTGGGATAAAAAGAAAGATGGTATTGCGGGTATTGACGATAAGATTAGGGAGAATCAACTATGTTGGTATGGGAATGAGAAATAACTTGAAGATGCACCAGAAAAGAAAGCGAAGGATTGAGATATGAAGATTTCAAACAACACCAAAGGAGGGCCAAAATGAGTTAGCAAGTAGCAATAGATGAAAGAGAGTTAAGAGGATTTATGTAGAGGCAACAGGAGATAGATTGTCGGTTCATATAGCCAACCCAATCCATTAGGGAATAAGGCTTTGGATTTGTTGTTATTGTTGTTGTTGAGGAAACATGTAGCAAGGAAATGCACTTACAGGATGCTTGATGCAATATTATCTGCGTTGTTATTTGCACCAATGTTGCTGCTGCAGTCTACAAGGAGTTATGACATTACAATTTGTGGCCTTAGGTAGCTAATCAGTCATCTCTCAAGTAGCTAAGCTAATATGGGCTTCCATAATATATTAATATCTCTACTCCTCATTCTTACAATTAAAATTTAACTTCACCCCTTCATCTGAATTTGTTATCAAATATTGCTCCAGAAAAAACCCACATGACTGATACATCTAAAAGCCTAAGTTTTCCTAATTTTCTGCTTAACCCTTTTAATTGTTGCTAGCCAGGATTAGAACAAGAGTAGTGATTCCAAAACTATTAAAAAAAAAAAAAAAAATCAAAAGACAATTCCTTTATTTATCCTCAAATCAACATTACCGATTCACAAATAATATCCGAACAGAACGAATAGACCCACTGCATCCAATTGACCTCAGAGGCTCTAGCCTCTAGCAATCTACTCCAAAGAGGCTTAACCAACTTACAAGGCAAAAACAACTGCCCAATTATTTGACTACCGTAGAAAAGTACACATTACGAGTAGCTAATTTTAGTTTTGCCAACTCTATTGTTGGACCCTCTCCATACAATCCATCCACAAGAGCCTCAATCAGAACCTAAAACTTCCACTGAGATATGGCACATGGGTAAAGGAAAATGGTAATAAAGTTTTACTAAATGATTATTTAGACAGTCAAATAAAGTTATTATAAACAATGAGGACAGCTTGTCTTTAAGCAGGCATTTACTAATACTATCACATAATTAGAGCTAGCAACAATTCATCATCTTCGACAATTACATTCGCACCGTTTTAAAAATCAACATCTCCCAAAACTTTACTATCATTACAGAATCGAACCTAACGCAATAATCAACCGCATCCATCACCCTAATTTCCACCATAGCAGTATGCCAGTATCACACTCCTATCACATCAAGCTACAAAATCATCTAATATTTCTCAAGAAACTTTACTATAACAGAATTGAACCTAACAACAATTGATCATCCTATACAACATTATCGAAAACTCCCAACTCCACAACAATCAAATAATTCCTACAAATATAAACCCTAACAATATCAAAACAAAAACATCCAAAACATAACCAGAAACATACAAATTAAATATCATAATAAAAAATAAAAAAAAACCCTAACCCTAAATTGAAAATTAAAATGACAGAATCAACAAAAATCATACCACATATCAGCTTCTCTAACAATTCCATACTTTCCCCATGAACTGGTAACAGCTCCAGTCTTCCCCTTCTCCTTCTTCTTGCTCTTATCTTTATCCTTCTTCTTCGACTTCTTCTTCTTTTTCCCCTTATCATCATCACTATCATCATCATCTTCCCCTCTTTTTCTCTTCTTCCGCTCTTTCTCTCTCCTCCTCCTTTTCCTCTCTCTCTCCTCTCTCTTCTTCCTTTCTCTCCTCTTCCTCTTCCTCCTCCTCCTCCTCTCCTCCTCGCTATCGCTTTCGCTCCCCTCGGAACCCAACTCCGAATCCGACTCCGATTCAGATTCCGACTCAGAATCCGAATCCGATTCCGAATCATCATCGCTGTAACGACGTCGTTTCGATGAAGTTCGCTTCCTACTTTTGCCACTACTGTGCTTCTTCCTAGGTTGTTCGTCTTCGGAAGCCATGGTTGATTCAGTATTATCCTCGGATTCCTCGGCATGTCGTTTGGATTTCTTGTCGTTGTCTCTTCCTACGACGACATCTTTGTCTTCTCTCTCGTGTTTCTCTCTCCTTGAATCTCTGTCTCTCGCCATTTTTGGGGGTTTTTGGGTTTTGATAGAGGAGAGGAGTTTATGAAGTGAAAGACTGAGAGGGTTTTTAAAAGGTCGGCCTTTTGCCGCGAGAATAGAGAAAACACGTGTTAATAAGTCTGAGGGCTTTTTTTTTACTTCCTCCGTTTTTTTTTTTATTGCATCATAGGGGTTTTGGAGGCAAAATTTGGTAGTGGGAAAAAGTAAGAGAGAGAAACGTAAAAATACAAAATTGTCCATGTAATGTAAGATAAAATAAAAAATAAGTGTGAAAAAGTAAGGGTATGTTGGGTATTTGCAGTGTGAACATAGATATTTTTTATCCTAAAAAGGAAATGATGCAATAATAAGTAAACTTCCTAAAGTAGTAAGTGATGCGATAAAAAAAGAACGAAGGAAGTACTTTTTTTCCCCTAAGATATAGTGTTATACCGGTAGTTCAATTTCTAAAGTATGTCCATGTCTTTTCAATTTTCTAACGCTATGCCCCTCAATTCACTATCATTAATGAATTGTATCTTGTTTGGACGTTATAAGGTACCTGATGTTAGCTTTAAATTTCAAACAAAAAAGAAAAGAAAAGGCAAGGAAATGAGAGAAAAAATAAACCCTGACTACCATGACCTTAACCACCGAAACTCCAGCCACGAAACACCAACCTCAATTAACTTGTAAACATCCAAGGAGGGTACACTTAATTACTAAAAGTGAGTTGAGGGCAGTGGCGGAGCCAGGATTTTCCACCTAGGAGGACGGATTAAAGGTGGTGTTCTATAAATGGACAGAACCTTTTAAGCATACATAAATTCTACAGACTATGCTTAATACTTATAAATAAGTTTTACAACCCGAACACCCAAAATTCTTAATTATACAGTCCAAAAAATTGAAAAAAATATCAAATTAATTACAACTTCACCTTCAAGTCTTCATTTTTTTTGTAAAGAGATCAATAATTAATTTGAAAATTGTGAATCAATTATTAAATCATATACAATTAAAATTATCAAATAATTCATAAATGTGATTTCTAATTAACGGTAATCTTAACATATAAACCATTTCTTATTCCAATTTGGGTAATGGCAGTGTTTTCAAACCCGGGACACTTTAATATATAATAAAATCAAACACCTTTGCCGAAATCCTCACTACAACCAATAATTTGGGGTTGTTATTTATGTCATTATCAAAAAAATTATGTAAATTACTAAGGTAATTTAGAAGTAAGAACACGATGCCATTAAATAGTACTCCGTATTACTTCTAATTGAATTTGTGAATTAAAGAAACAAGCAAGGAAAGGGGAAAACTTTAAAATAAAAATAGAAGAAAATGCTGGACAAAGGGATCGAACCATTGACCATAAAGAATTCCTGAAAACCCTTGAACCATTGAACCAACTCCTTTTTCTTATTCCTTATGTTGTACATAATTTTTTTTAACTTTTTTTTTTTTTTTTTTTTTTTTTGAAGTGGGGGGACAACTGTCCCTCCTTGTACCCACTTGGCTCCGCCAGTGGTTGAGGGCATGGCTTAAAAATTTTAAAAGGCATGGGCACACCTTAGAAACTTGATTACTTGAAGGGCATAACTTAGAAAAACTCTTTTTTATATATATACTTTGGATAAAAGGAGGTAAACGTCCGTTGTTATCAGCCGTCTACTTTCTGTTACGTCCTTTTATACATCATCCATACACTATATTATAATAATACTTTCCGTAGCAAAGCGTGGCCCACAAGAGTCCTGATTTACATTTTCTTGTAAATCAGACTGATGAACCGGGATGCGTCCTCAATCAAACGTATTAGAAAATGATTAAAATAAAAATTATAATTTGAGATTAAAGAAGAAAAATAAGACAAACCTAAATTGTCTCCTTAACAAAGCAAAATGATACTAATAGTGGTCTGCTTCAGGTGTTGATCCTCCACACAACGGGCCAAAATTTCGCCTTAATTCTTAATTATTGTGCAGCATCTAAATGTATATCTTTAGCACATAGCTGCTCACATTTTCTAAACTCAATATCATTTGCATCATTAGTCTTACATCCGACGTTAAGCGTTATGATGCACGGAAACTCCATTTGAGGTCAACGTTTCTGTTTCCGACACCGATTGCGATATTTTAACAAAACATTTTTCAGTGAGTAGAAAGAGTAAGTGAGTGAGTGAGAGGCAACGTCAACAAAGAAAAATGTCTAAGAGGAAATTAATGAAAGAGAGGTGAATTGCACTGTATATGTGCCATAAGTCCAAAACTTTACCTAGTACGTAGTTTATTTTCTTAAGAGTTGTTTGATGTCCAAATAACCTATTTGGGCTATTTAATTTAATGGCCTAAGAATCATAAAGGCCACAAGCCCAAAAGTCCACAAAAGGACTTCTCTATGCCTCAAGCCAAACATGCATCAAGGCAAATCCACTTGCTACTTGGTTTAAATCTCAGCCCATGGCTGAGGCCCACATCCTAAAGGTATAAATACCCTAAATTATACCAAATAAGGTATCTACAAACACTTTCACTTTTACTACACTTACAAGCATTGATTTGTCTTCTTGATTTCTCAATCTCATGTACTGACTTAGGCGTCGGAGGGGTTTCACATGTAATTAGTTAATTTAGGACTAATTGGGTTTTTTTTCACTTAATTAATTTAGTTTAATTTAGATTAAGTTAAAAAAAAAAAGATAAGCTAAGATTAATTATATAATTAGTCAGTAATTGACGTTTTTAAGTACTTTAAGTGGTTGGAATCCAGTAAGGGTAGCTAGCTATGTTTATTAATTTATTCCTTATACCTTTAAACAATTGTCTTAGTCCTCCATCCTAAGCATTTTGCGTACTATAATTAGTTATATTAGTACCCGAATTTTTGTGAACAACTACCCAAATTTTTTTATTTGTAAACAAATACCCCTAAGATGTGAAAACTTTGTCTAACACAACCCTTTAACAGTTTCCGTCCAATTTTCCGTTTCTGTCTCCCTCCCAACTACCTCCCTTCCCTTTCATAAATTTCCCTCCATTTTCCTTCATCCTTTCACCTTTCACCTTCTTTAGATTTACCTAATCAAATCTTATTGCTCCAAATTTCTTGCCAATTCCTGTAATTTATAAACAACCTTTTCCTCTCAGACGCCATCTCTTTCCTACTTATCTTCTTGCTTTGCTGGGTAGGTACATGTCACTGACTCAAATTAGTAAGGGGAAATTAAGGACCAAGGAGGTACAATGTAGTAATTGCTATGAAACTTGTGGTCTTTTTATTCAATTGAAGCCATAAACCCTAAACCCAAAAGATACAAAACCTTCTAATTCAATTCAAGCCTTAAACCCTAGAAATTCAAATCTTCTCATTCAATTGAAGCCAAAAACCCTAAATTCAATCCTTAATTATGATAATTAAAGTAAACCGAAACTCCTAAACCAATTACATGCCAACAAATTACAACAATAACTTAAAAAATTACTTGATTTGATGAGTGATTGTTTTAAATTGCTCAAATTTATTGTTCTTGGAAATTTTTTGTTGTGATCGGGGGAAAAGATCAACATTACGAGTATTAGATAGGTGGGAAATGAGTTAATTGGGTAGATAAATGTAACGAACTGAGGGCCCCAAAAACGAAAAATTGGACGAAAACTGTTAAAGGGTAGTGCTTGACAAAGTTTTCAAATTTTAGGGGTAGTTATTTACAAAAAAAAAAAAAATTTGGGTAGTTCTTCACAAGACGGTCATTTATGGGGTAGTTCCTAACAAAATTTCCTATTAGTTATATATACGCTTGCAGCCCATAAGTGTTTTTCAATTTGAGCTAGTTAATTTTAATTATACCAATCTCGTTTACTTAGTTTATTAGATTATTGATCAGTATTCTTATTTTATTTGATTGTAATATAAGTTTAAAGTATTTATTTAATTGTTTTTATTGTTATATTATAAGTAAGTTTAAATGTTTTCATATGTGGCGATGGTATATTGATAATTTCCAATATTTTAGGAAGGTCGGAAAATATTATTAGGGTATAAAAGTTAGCTAGTCGATGCAAATAAATATTACTTGTCTCATCGCTAAATATGGTTTATGGGTGTAAATTATTGTCAAGATAAAGGCATACATCTTACAATTTTATTTTAATGAATTTATGCTCTTTATATAATACACTATATTATGTTTTTTTTATTTTTTTATTTTTTGTTATTATAATTAGATAGGTAATCTTATGTGTAACAATACTATTTATTTATTGCACTCAAGATTTATTTCGTAGTTACAGTTTATATCTTCACCCTAATGCCTACTGTTTTGCAAAGTTTAGAAAAATGGCCGTGACTATATCATGGTCATACTTGTGACTTTTCTTTGGACATCATTAGCCATGGGTACGATTTCGGAATTTAACTCGAATGCTATTTTGTTTTTCCAACTTAATTCTAGTTGATATGTTGTAAAAAAATTGATTGTCTAGTATCACTTGAGGAATTTAGTTAGTCTAGTTTTATTTTTATTTTTTTTTTGAAGAAAGTTATTCTAGTATTAGTATTGTTAGTATTTGATTGTCTAGTATTAATTTGGTTAGTATTTGATTGTCTTTTTTTTTTTTACAAAGTATTTGATGGTCTATTTTTAATTTGGTTTGTCTAAAACTTTAGAAAATCATAATTAACTCATTAACTTGTGTCTTAATTAAAGACCTAAACATGCAAAACTAGTAAACTATTATATGAACGAAATAAAGGAGATAAAAATTATTTTAATTTTAATACCACTAGGTTCCTGTAAATCTATAAATCGATCATTGTATTTCTTGTTTTTATGGGGTGTGTGACCTAAAATTACTAAATTACACCCAGATATTGGACCACTTTGGGTCTAGCAACCTCTTGTTTACGTAGAGGTTGCTCGCAGACGACACATTATGGGGAGGATCACAAGTAGAATCCCCCTTTTTGTGTTGTTTGGTAGTGAACAAGGCGAAGTCTACCCGCTGAATGAATTTGGGGTACTAAATCAAAGTGCAACCAAATTTCGGGCGATGTTAGTTCACATTGAGGTATAATATCTATTCTAGTCAAATTTTATTTTTAACTCTCGTTTTTAATTATATTAATTCACCACTCTGGA